ATAAAGAGTACAAAAATAATTATATGTTAAATATGTTGTTATTATTATTATTTTTTGAAAGGTGTATACATAAAGTTCCTTTTAATGTTCTTGTTTTAAAATGATTTTATTGTAGTTCCGGAAGACAAAATTAGTGATTACAAAATTATAGAATCCATAGAACTACTACACCACACCTAATATGATCAATACCAACGTCCGACATGATACAGGACTAATATGTTTACTTGGTATATCCACGAGAAAAGTTTTTACCCAGGGCATGTGGAATATTATAGCATGCTCATTTACCACTAAAGCAGTACCCATCCTAATACAATATTTACTTTAGTTTAGTTTCGTTAATGTAATAACTTCATAATTAGGAATTAATAAGTACAGATCTGAACCCATGTTAGAGTCTCATTTAGTGCCTTAATTAATTTAGAGAAATCTAATTAATCAGTAAGTACCAAGTTATATACTTAGTACAGAGCTTCAGTTGTACTCAATTTGAAGTGTCAATTTTAGATTTTTTTTAAGAGTTAATTTAGCAATTCCAAAACTTAGAATTAATAATTACCGAGCTAGTCTATTTGGAATCTCAATGATATCTTTTTTTCATGATTTAATAACTGTAAAATTTATAATTAATAAATATCAATGTATACTCGGTTTAGAGTCTGAACTACCCCTTCATCAATGATTTAATTATTTTGAAATTTGGAATTTATATATACCGAGTTGAACTCGGTATTTCAAGTGATCAGGCTAATAGTCTATATCACAATGGTATGTTTTATTTAACACAAATTCTTAGTTAATTAGTCATTGGATTTTTTTTTCAAAGTTTGTGGATGAGACCAGAGATAGGTTTACTTTGATTCGGTTTCTGCTAGCAATGACCACTGACCAATTGACTATGGTGCAATTTAAGGGGCTACTTATATTTATGCCGCCATATCTTTTAAGAAAAAATATTCAACATGTATTTACATTGTAAGTACGTAAATTACATATGTATATGTAATTTTAGAGTATTTAAAATGTAAGTCTCAAAATTATATATATATAAGTGTCTAAATTACATATGTAATTTTAGTGTAGTTATAATATAAGAAAAAAAAGAGGGAAGCTAAAAAATCACATGTCCTTTGGAGAAAAGAAAGAATCTCGGAAAGTAGAAAATAATTACTCACAAAATCACATTTCCCTTTGAGTATTAATAACAAAGTGATCAAGTGATCAAGTCATCCTTTGACATACACCTCAACAAAATCAGCAATCAGCCACGGAAAGCTAAGCACGAACATCAAGGGAGATCCTACCGCCAAAAAAAACGATTGTTTTTTCCTAAAAAACATGCGACATAAATATAGCAATACCGCGGCCGAATTAGCTTTTTTGGCTTGCGGCTCACGGTCACGGGCTTTCAACAAATTCCACGAACCTATACTCATTAAAAATTAAAAAGAAAAGGTTCAATCCAAATTAATCAAACGCAGGTCAAATCTAATTCTAATACTCACTGTAGAGATGGGTATAACGACTCGACTCCTTCAATTATTAAAACATGTATAGAATGGTTCTCTCGACTATATTGATGGTGGTTTTCGTTGATATAGCATCTATATATGTGGCACATTGAAATAATGTTTGTCCTAAGTGGCGTTTGCGTGTAATCACATTCAACAAAAAAAAAACCTAAATAAGACCCATATGTTATTGGCAATTTCATAAAAAATAATATAGTAAATTTTGTGGAGCCCACATGTGACAAGTAGGGCCCACTATCGACCTCTCTATCCCTCCCTTCTTCTTCCCTCTCTCCCTATCTTTATCTCCTCCCTGTTCTATTTCCTCTCATGATGCTTGGTGGTTCCCATCCTCCGGTAGGCGGCTCGCTGGATATAACAAAGAAGAAGAGATCGAGATCGAGCTCGAGCTCTCCTGCAGCCAGTGGCGGTCTGTGTCGGTGACACGATCTTCGGGGGCAGACGGGCTTTTTCCTTACTGATTCGGCGACGAGCACGACCAGGGCGATGAGTTGTGGGAAGCGGCCAGTGTTGGAGGAGGAGCCAAGGACTGACGGACCACCCAAGACATCCCGGGCTGGAAGGTTGAATTGGAGCAGTGACCACAGTAGGTTCTCTATCCACGTCAGGCTGCGACGAACAGGAGGGGCAAGGCAAAGTGTGCTCCGGCTAGACTCCTCGAGCAGGTGCCAAGGTCATCAAACTCATTGGCGTGTTTGGCAAGTTTGTTCTTCACGTTGGCGCGCAAACAACCTTGGGTCGGTAGCGACAATGGCGATGATTTTGGGTGCGGTGGTGGAGACTGTTGAGGAGGCGATGGAGGGACAAGAATGTAAAAATTACTCTCTCCTTATTTTAATGTATGACGCCTTTGACTTTATAACCAATGTTTGACCACTCGTCTTATTCAAAATTTTTATGCAAATATAAAAATACTTATGTCATACTTAAAGAACATTTGATGATAAATCAAGTCATAATAAAATAAATTATAATTATATAAATTTTTTGAATAAGACGAAAGGTCAAACGTTTGTCAAGAAAGTAAACGGCGGTATACATTAAAATATTAAAATATGAAGGAAGTATATAGCGACGAGGTAAGGGGACACGAGCTGCGGGGAGGAGGGAAACAACGCGACTCTGGAGGTGGACCATGGCAGCACTGCTAGCGGGGCCGCGACGGTGCAAGGGTTGCCAACAGCCGCGTGAAATCGTAGCTTACAGTGCTACGCTGCGCTTTTTCTCGTATCACGTAATATCAATTTGCCTTCATGTAATTGACATGTGAGCCTCTCATAGATTATTTTATTCTTGTTTCTATCTAGTAGAACTGCTAATCACACGTGGGTCCTATTGAGTTTTTATTCCACGTAAACGCCATTTAGCTGCCATAAAAGCTAGGTGAACGTGCCAAGTATGGGTCACGTAGTAGTTTGGGAGTCATTTTGCATCGGTTTTAATAGTTGGAGAAATTATTATATCCAATTTTAATGTTGGGGTTACGGATTAGATCCAGCCTATATTCGACGCAATTAAATTGGACTTTTCCAGTAATAAAACTGGCCCATGAATTGTTGGCTCGTAATGAATCAGACTTAGAAATAATTTGTTTTCAATAATATATTTTAAGAACTTATTTTATTAAATAATTGATGACTTTTTATTAAATATTTTTAAAAATATATATTTACTAAAGAAAAGCCCGTGCGTTGCAACGGGTGAAACTTTAATCTTGTTATTGCTATATATACATAAGGTGAAATTCACTGTGGAAATTCGTTTGGATATATACTTGTTTTAGAAAATCATGAGCTTCAATTAGGAATTTAGGAGTATGATATTCTTAAGTTAGTATGTGAGTTTTTTTTAAAGATATTTCTTGTACGACTCCTTCCGTATTTCCAAAAGCGAACGAACCTACGGATATGTATTTCCAAAAACAAACAAACTTAAAAACCAACTCATACACGGAAAACGTACCAAAGTACCGGCCAAAACATCTTTAATTTTTACTAGCAAAAATGTACGTGCATTGCAACGGGTGAAAAAATTTCAAAAATATTATTTTTATATGATACACTGTCAAGAATATTAGCTATACTTAACAAAGTAGTATGATACTTGCATACAGAGACGTGCAGGGCCTTCAATACAAGAGAATAGATAACACAAGCCGTGTAGGGATAGAAAAAATCGATTGATTGGACCCAAGCCTCGATCAATCTGATCTTGTTACAAGTAAAAAAAAGCCCAAGCCGACAAGGTAGATGATACAAACGATACGATTCGGAATCAGATGTTTTTTTTTCATGAAATCGGATAGTTTTCTATTGCATGCATGGTGCCGAACTGGATTTTTTTATAAACGTGGGTTTTTTCTCGTGTTGGGTCAGACAGTTTGTTCGGGAGTCTTTTACCCCTATGCCATTAAGAAAGTTGGAGGTTACGTGTGTGCCACAAAATAGTTTTGAGTTACATGTATGCCATGAGACAAACTTTCTTTTACCTGTGCGCCACTTTGGATGGAATCAGCACTAACGGAGACAAACGGAGGTTTGAAATATCTATTTTGCCCTTGCTAATGGATGGAATCAGCGCCGGCAGGGGCCGCCATTGGCGCCGACGACCGGCCACGGCGACGACCGGCGGCGGCGCCGCCGGCTAGAGGTTCGCCCTCTCGGGCTCGCTCAGCTCTCTTCCCCTTCCTTCCTCCTCCTCCTCGGCTCGGCGCGACGAGACCTCGCCATGGCGAGTCGCCAGTCGCGTCGGCTCGGCTCGCTCGTGCCCTTCGCCGCCGCGGTTGTCCTCCTCCTCCTCCTCATCGCTTCCGCCGCCACTGCCGCCGCGGGATCCCCCGATCGGGCCGGCCCCGCGGCGACGACCGGCGGCGGCGGCGGCGAGGCGAGGAGGCGGTGGCGGCGTGCCGGCGACGGCGACGGCCGGCGGCCGCGGCGGCGTGCCGGCGAGGCGAGGCGGCGGTGGCGGCATGCCGGTGACTGCGACGACCGGCGGCGGCGGCGGCTAGGCTAGGCTAGGGCACGGGAGAGGAGTAGTAGAGATGAAAATGCTTTGGGGGCAATTTAGTCATTTTCATACGTGGGTTCCACATGTCAGAGCTCATTCTCTAACAGAAGGTGGATGGAATGGCACACGGGTAAACGAAAGTTTGTGTCATGGCATACAGGTGACTCAAAACTTTTTCGTGGCACATACGTAACCTCCAACCTTTTTAATGGCATAGGGTAAAAGACTCTTTGTTCGGATAAACGACGTTTTTTTTCTCGCATGGAGTTGGACGGTTTTTTCAATCCATTTTTTCGCGTGGATTCGAACGGTTTATTCGATCTAGGACCCATGATGATTTGTAAAATTTTAGCCCTTTGAATTTTTTGAATTAGTTTATATAAACATTGCGAAGATAGACTTCTCCTAAATAAAAAAATGAAAAGAAAAATATATTTATGCCTGTTCCGTGACATCATATCCAGCCCCACCTTCCATCCAGATCCATCCATCCCCACTCCCTCAGAAACCATCGACGTTACCCCAAAAATCGCCTCTGCTCCCTCCGCTCCCAGAAATTGACGCCACCAATTTCTTCCCCCTATTCGGATTCCGGTCATGGAGATGCTACTGCCACCACCGATGAACTCCTCCTCCCAGTCGCGGCGAATCAAGCGACCCCGATGAAAAATCGAGCTCCCCGGCGACGGATCGACCTGCCACGATGGCGGATTGAGCGGCCTCACCTCTCCTCACCGGATCCAGCCAGTGTCGTGGCCATCTTCGAGCTCGAGCTGCATGCCTCCGTGCGACAGCGGCGGTGGATCGGACAAGGGTGACGCGGATCTGTCGGCCTCCACCCCAGATGAGCGATTTTCCACTCTACCGGATTGAGTGTATATTTGGCTTTGTCTTTTATCTGACTGGATTTCTCTTCTTTTTCTTCTTAATTAGGATTCAATTGTTCTTACCATAAAGATGTTTTTAGGCCCGATTTGGTTAGGTTTTGGGGGAATTTTGGGTTAAACTCTATCGGTTTTCTATAGGAGAGACGGGGATAGATTCGGTCGGTTTCTTTAGGAGGGACGGACAGAGGAAGTGCGGAGGGCGGAGGGGATCGTGAACAAAGGGGACGCTCCACCAAAATGTCTTAAAAGATCCCTCCATTGTAAGTCATTTTTACCATTTCTAGAGATAAAATATTTTAATAAAAAATGAAAATAAAAAAAATCCAAAGAATTCCATCGTAAATCCACCTGCCGCTCTTTCTCTACTGGTAGAGAATACCGAGCCCATAATTTCGTTTTAGCTATCTGGGCCATGAGAAAGCCCATCTAGCCCAACTGGAACCGCACAAGAGGATTAGGGTTTCGCTCTCTCAACCCACATGCCCCCTATTTAAATAGCTCCTCCAAGCCGCCGTCAATCCATCGTCTCGCCTCCCCCGCACTGCTCCGCCTCCATTGCTTCGCGTCTCGTATTTGGATCTTCCTTCTGTCCATGGTGAATCTTCCATCGGTTCTTGCCTTGTCTGATCTGTTTTTCCATTTTTTGTGTTGTTTCAGTCAGTCAGGCAACTTGTTTATGTGATTTCTTTCGTTTGCCATTGAGCCGAAACGAGTTGCTGATCTGGGTAGATTTTGGATGTGTTGGGTTTCTTGTAGTATTTGGAATTGGTTGGTCCGAGTTGGGGTTGTAGGAATCATCAGGAAGAAAGCCAATTTGCAGAGCAAAGGGGCCAGATGCAGTGGCTATCTTTGCATTGAAGGTTGGCGACAACGAACAAACGCAGTTCTCCGTGCCGCTCAGATTTTCTCTGTTTTGTGACGGCCTCGAACAAGCTGCTACATCCACTTTCTTGATTGTATCTTTTGTTTTGATTGGGTCTTGATTTTGGGCTCAGATTTATGGCCAGAGCAATCTTTTGTTTTGATTGGGTCTTGATTTTGGGCTCAGATTTATGGCCAGAGCAATTTTGTCTTTTTTTTTTTGCTGATTTAGGCTTTTGGATTGTTTGAGATTGGATCTCACTTGCAAGAACCGCCGCTATATCTCTATGAAGTACTTCGTTTGTTTTTTTGTTCGCATTTTCAAATCGACAACTGTTAATTTATAGTGAGAAATAAATTTATATCGTTTTGAAAACTCGTAATTGGCGATGTCGAACAAAATGTAAAATAGAGATAACTACTGAAATAATCAACGCTCACCTCTCGATTAAGACTCAGTTCGGTCATATTACCGCGGCAAGAAATGGCCCGTTGAACCAACGAACGAATGACCTTTCTATTTAATACAGGTTGGAACGACACGAGCAGATGAGTCAACCTGGTAAAATTATGCGAAGTCAGGATTAACTGATGTCTAATCTTCTTTAAAAGACAATCTTCAAAATCTTTTATTCAACTGATGTCTAATCTTCTTTAAAGACAATCTTCAAAATTTTTTATTCAATGGGATGCACAATTCTAAAGATGTAAATTGATTTGGTTTTAAAAGTTAGGGGACTTGTGCACGGGTGTACGATTGATGGATGCGAATGAAACTTAAGGGGACTTTTCCTCCAAAAAATCGAGCAAGGAGCTTGTCAGAGTCGTGGCCCATTACGCTGGGAGGCCCATTTACATAGCTCAGTAAGGGAGGATCGTTTACGAATGAAATAAGTTCATCCCAGGTCTCTTAACTTTATACCGAATCCGATTTTCATCCTTCAATCCTAAAACCAGATACGTCCCTAAACTGTCAAAACCAGTGCAAACGAGGTCCTTCAGCGGTTTGGAAAACGGTTTTGGTTGATGTGGCTCCAACGTGGTTGGTTTGACTTGGTCTTTGTTCCATTTGGCATTTGATATGGCACTTAGAGCATGCCCAACAGCTTCCTTTTTCAATTCCCTATCCTGTGATTTAGGGAATTTTGATCAAGAAACAGATCCAACAGATTCTCTAACTAATATCCCAATATCTCTGGTTCCTCAGTCCGCATATATCGTTCCTCACAAACAGGGAAGCGATTTTGTTCCCAATATTTCCTCGTCGGTCTCTCTCGCGCGCAAAGCAGTCTCTCGCGCGCGCAAAGGGAAAATGTTCCCGCGCACTTCTCCGCGCCCTCGCTCCTCAGCGGCGAAGCCTTCTCCGCGCCCTCGCTCCTCGGCGGCTACACCTTCTTCCTCGGTGGGGGCACCCTCTTCCTCGGCGGCGGCGTCCTCTTCATCGGCGGCAGCTCCCTTTTCCCTTTTGCAAGGCACGGGGCGTGGTGTCCCGATGACGGCCGGAGGTATGCCGTTTCCGCGGTACGGCGAGTTCTGGCCCGGCGGCCATCCGTGCCCTCCACCACCGCCTGGCGGCCATCCGCGCCCCACACCGCCGCCCGGCGGCCATGCGCGGCCCCCACCGCCGCCCGGCGGCCATGCGCGCCCCCCACCGCCGCCCGCCGGCCATGCGCGCCCTCCACAACGCTACTCCGGTTTTCAGGCATCCGAGGCCATGGAGAAGCTGACATCTAGCGAGCCATTGGATCCCCTCTCACACGAAGCTTCTATCGGCAGTTCCTCCAGAGTATGGACTGTAGGTGACGAAGAATTCCTCCACATGAACAATTTCGGTAAGTCCAATCCTGATTTGTTCAGTGTTTAGTTTACATGCTCTGAATTCCTTCACATCTGAAGCTTTCTTGATTGTGCTTTCTTTTTTTTTCTTCAATCTGGATAGTATTGTCTAATTTATACTATCTGATAGAGGTTGCATTTTCAGAAATTTTCATCATGTTCTTTTGTGTATGCTTGCAATTGTAGCAAAATTGCCTGACTTGAACAAGGGTATGTCTGCTGTATGTGCTGATGTAATTCACTGTGGTGTATATCCTGCATTTATGTCCAGAAGTATATAGGGTATGTACAGCATGCAGGAAAGAATAGTCAGTGGTGTTGTGCTGGAATTTCAGTTTGACACTATGTAGTGAGTATAATATGCTATCAAATTTATGCTCTGAGTTTGACACAATGGAAATTCAGTATGTACTGAGTTTCATATACGATGCTCTGAAATTTGACCTGTTGAACAGTTATCTGAACCTTGTCGCTGTCAGGATCGATATAGGAACATTTCTATGAACCTTGTCATTTTCAGTATCCAAATTAGCAACATTTGTGTGCTCTCTCCATGCGAATGCACAGCTTTTGATTAATATTATGTGTACACAAAGTTGTCACCATCCATTACATGTGAACTTTCAGATAACAGAATGCATTTTTTGTCCAGAAATTATCACTTGTTTGTCTTTTGTTAGTCTTTTTTTTTCTCAAGTACAAGGTTATGATTTTTTATCTATGGACAGATGATATGGAGCGAGAGCGATATTACACAAACTTGATCAATGATGAGAGCAACCATTTTGGCTCGAGTGAGATGGGAAGCCAGTATGATGATGAACAAGAACCAGTTGTGAATGAAAATGTTGCTGTGAGACCGAACCAAAAAAGATCAAAAAATTTCAGTTTGGAGGAGGACAATCTTTTGGTGTCGGCGTGGATAAATGTTTCTTTCGATCCGGTTCAAGGGACGGATCAATCTCACGGTACATATTGGGGACGTATTCATGACTACTTTCATCAGAACAAGGAATTCGAATCAGATCGCTCCCAAAGTTCACTTGTACATCGTTGGTCCACTATACAAGAACATGTCAATAAGTATTGTGGTTTCTTAAGTCAGATTCAGAATCGAAATCAGAGTGGTGTCAATCATGAGGACATGGTAATATATTGCTTGTGTTGCTTATTTTCCAATCGTCTCCTTTATGTTTCTGACTTCAGTTCATTTATTTGCAGCATGTGCAAGCAAGCCTGATGTACAAGAAGAAAGAGGAAAAGAAGTTTCAGTTCATGCATTGCTACAACATTTTAAAGAATCTGCCAAAGTGGGATGATAAGCGGAATCAGCTGGCAGCTAGTAAAACTTCAAGCAAGAAGCAGAAGAAGACCGCCAATGATTCTCCTGCGATATCTACTCCTGCATGTAATGTTGATGAGAATAGGGCTGCTGATCCTGAGAATACAGTAGGTGAGGGAAGACCCATGGGGAGGAAGAAGGCGAAACAACAGATGCGCGAACGCTCGGATCTATCACGGAAAGAGTCCTTAGACTATCTATGGGATAAGAAGAAAGAGGCCGATGCGGAGAAGGAGCGAAAGTTTGAGGAGAGGTACCAAATTGCTTTTGCACTTGAGCAAAAGCGGATTGATTTGGAGAGAGACAAGTTCGAGTTCAAGAGAATGACAAAAGAAGATAAGCTTTTGAGGACTGATACTAGTGCAATGAGCATCGAGGAGCAGGAGTACTATAAAAATGTGAAGAATCAAATTCTAAGTCGTCGTTCAGCTCAAGCATAAATTAGTCTTATTACTCATCAATTAGCATTCAAAATTTGTTAGATCTTTAGCTATAGAGTCTACTTAATGGACTAGTAAATTTTACTATCTTGTTTTGGTACTGTTTTATGTAGCCGGAGCATTTGCTACTACTACAAAATTGCTGGAAATTGTTTTTTTGTTCAAAATTGCTGGAAATTGTTGCTGATGGAATTGCTTCTTCATCTCAAATGGCCCTGTTACTGATAGTGTGCATTTTCAGTCCATGTTGTCCACTAGTGCTGAAATAACCCGGTTGTTACAGAGCCATTCAGGCATCAATTTTACAAGGGTTGAAATAAGTTTCAGTCCATTAAAGTAACTGTCAGAACTAGTAGCAATGTTCGATGATGATTGGCATGTAAAACCTTCAGTTATGGCACCAGTAAGTCCCTCATCCTCCACTGAGGAAGATTGATTACCAGCAGGTTCAGTTTGTGAATAAAACTGTGAAAAGGCGCTAGCAAGCTGATCCCTTAACTCCCCAGTATCAGAGCTAGTCTTATAAATCGCAAGGTGAAGTGCCTACCTTCTGAAATACTTTGAATGGCCTAAAGTTCAGATTTTCAGAGTTTACACTATGGGACCATCTTTTCCTGTCTCTCATTTCTCTGATGCTACCCTGACAAGTGCTATTCGCACTACACATAATGCAAAACAAAAGCAATATGCAAAGAGTTCATGGACTTGCATATGTAGCAAAAATGCCAGAATTTATCATCGGCTTGCATATGTAGCAGTGCATATTCTGATGTACACCCTTGTGGTGTATATCCTGTATATATATCCAGTCCTGAAAAAGGATATGCACTGCTGTCCTTTTCAGTCTATTGTACTGTATCGAATTCAACAATAAATCACATTGTCAATAAATAATTACTATAAGCTCAATATGTACTAATTTAAAAACAAGCTGTGAATCTCCAATTATTACAATCTATGACATTATCTATAAGAATATATAATGTAAAATTAATATCGGTCTGCATGATGATTCCACAAATGTTCGATGAGGTCTTCCCTTAGTTGGTTGTGAACTTCCTTGTCTTGAATTTTTTCGTACTGACTAATAAAATCATTAAAGTTGGTCGTACGTTCATGGGAACCACCCACCTGTTCTCCCATCTCATCATAAACTAGATCAAAATCACCATCGCGCTCGTCCTCCACAATCATGTTATTCATGATTATACAAGCTCTCATTATCTGATTCAGAGTAAGTGCTTTCCAAAAACGAGCTGGTCCACGGACTATAGCAAAGCGAGCTTGAAGCACTCCAAATGCTTGTTCAACATCCTTCCTAGCAGCTTCTTGTGCTTTGCTAAAATATTTTCTCTTATTTCCTTGTGGCAGCTTAATGCTCTTCACAAGTGTTGCCCATGAAGGATAAATACCATCTGCAAGATAGTACCCCATAGTGTAGTCGTGCCCGTTAATACTATAATTAACTTTAGGAGCCTGCCCTTCAGCTAGCTTTGCAAACAGCGGTGAGCGTTGAAGGACATTAATATCATTGTGAGATCCAGGTGAACCGAAGAACGCATGCCAAAACCATCGGTCACGTGAGGCAACAGCTTCTAAAACTATAGTAGGAACTCCCTCTTTCCCTTTATACTGGCCTTGCCATGCAGTCGGGCAGTTCTTCCACTGCCAATGCATACAATCTAAAGAACCCAACATTCCTGGGAACCCTCTTTCTTCCCCCTGAGCAAGTAATCTAGCTATGTCGTTCTCGTTTGGTGTTCTTAAATACTCCTCTCCAAAAACTTCATCAATAGCCACCACAAACCTGTTAAAACTCTCAATAACGGTACTACCTCCAATACGAACATACTCATCAACTGCATCTGCCGCTATTCCATAACATAACATACGTGACACTGCTGTTACCTTTTGCAAACATGACAGTCCAAGCACACCAGCCACATTTCTCTTCTGTACAAAATATTCATCATGTGCTTCTATAGCATTCATTATGCGTAAAAACAGAGGTCGTCTCATTCTAAACCTGCATAGTAATTAACGATATTAATTATCTTTAATATCAATTTTGCAAACAAATATTGTCAAAACAAAGCACTGCTACAAACCTGTGTCTAAACTGAACATCGAGGTACGTAGGTTCTTCAGAAAAATAATCATTATATAATCTCCGATGTCCAGCCAATCTTTCCCGATTAATTACTGCATGACCTATAACAGATCCACCACGCTTTGGAACTTCATCATCGTCGAACTCATCGTGCACTATATCAACCGCCAAAGAAATAAATTCTTCGTCGCCATCCGATAAAGACTCCTCATCCAATAGCATTTGGAGGAGGGTACTTCGACGACTCATCTTCTCTTTTTTATTGCCACAGGGTTGGAGCGTTTACCACAGGGATGAAGTGCAATGGAGAGAACCGATGGCAGGAATACAACAATAATCAATCTATAAAATTAATTATTAGATCAAACTTAATATTTTCCAACAATAGATATCCACATAACCAAATAGAGACAGATATTGACTAGGGCACAAGAGATCAATAGGATTTGCTAGGGATTACCTCCTTGATGACACGAATAGCTATGGCATATCCTTGGTATTCCGTTTTTGTAGAAACCGCAGCACTCAGGACACTGGTTGGCTGGTGATGATGCGATTTACACAGATGGCGGCGCTGGTGTGGGAGGGAGAAGGTGCGGGGAGGGAGAAGTCTCGGCGCTGGTGCGGGGAGGGAGACGATCGATCGGTACCGAACTAGGCCCACCTTGCTTATGTGGCAAACTAACAAATGATAGGGAATTAATTTTTGGGCCTCTCTTGGAGGAGGGGGTGATTGTTGGGCCCAATTCTTATTTTGGAATTCCTAATTCAGATTTTTTGGGAATCAAATATTGGGTGACTGTTGGGCATGCTCTTACATGGCAATCCGATCCCAAAAATAATAAAAACGTGGCCCCACATATCAGTTACACACAAAAAATAATTCAAAATGGTGAGGCCCACGTGAACCCCATGTGTCAGCCTCATCTCCCTTCTTCCCTCTCCCCTCTCTCTTTTTCCTCATCCTCACTCCTTTCTTCTTTCCTTTCCCCTCTCTTCACCAGCCGCACGCCGTCGCAGAGGCGCTCAATCTCCGGCGTCGGTATCCACTCCAGCAACTCCCATAGCCTGGACACGTCAGTGATGATGGGCTTGAGGTAGTCCACGTACAGCTCGTGTGCGCGCTCTGCCCTGGACATCGACATGCGCGTCTCCCGCTGCTTTTGGTCGCGGTAGAGCTGGGCGAAGAAGAGGTGCTCAACCTTGTTGGGCACGGTGTCGTAGGGGTAGTCGGCGAGGGAGGGAGCAGAGCGACGGCGGTGAAGACGGCGGGAGCAAGGCGACGGCTCGGAGATGGTGTGCGGTGGTGACGTGCGAGGTCGCCGCCCGCTGCCCACCTCCCGTCGGCCGGCGCGCGCGCTGCCTCCTCTCCCGCCGGCCCCCGCGCGCCGCTACTCCTCTCCCGTTGGCTGCCCTGACGAGCTCGCCTCATCCCTCGCGGCGCTCCGTCGGCCGCCCTCTCCACCGGCACGGCGCGCGCCGCCGCTCCTCTTCCTCCCACCCACCGGCCGGGCGTGTGCCGCCGATCCTCTCCCACCGGCCGCCGCGCGCCACACCCTCCCGCCGGTCTCCGCGCCACTGCTAGAGATGGTGAGTCAAACGCTCTGGACAACTTGGCATTTTTGCAGCACTATTATCCCGTCAATTTTATTATATTGACCACCTATTTTCATCTGAAAAAGAACTGGCTGAAGTTTAAATCTGTCATACCTATGAATTAACTCTTCTATACTGAGTGTTATGCCATATTGCTATTACACATGTTTTTTTTCCTTTTAGTTTTATATATCGAAGAACTTGTCTTTTTTTGATTCATACAGCCCCTGTTTCTTTTGTCGTTCACTCATGTTATATTTGTGTTGTCTATATACCATGAGGAATTCCTATTCCTTCTTGAGGCTAGTTTCTTGCATGACTAGCTGTGATGGAATCAGGGGCCGAGCTAAAGTGAGGGAGGGGGTTCCCAGGCACCCGGTTCCAAAGATCATTTTATCTATTATCTATAGTCATCCTATGTTTGTCAGTTGTGCACCCCCTCAGTTCAATTAAGCAGACAAAGCAAGAAGGCAAAAAGAGACTGCATATTTGCAGCCCTGTGCTATAGAATGATACTACTACTACTTGCTAATGCATGCACACCATAAATCAACAATAGCCAATGCATAGAGCCCGGCGCTTGCCTCTTCCAACTTTTCTTAATTAATCACTTCAAAATCAAATCAAATAAACAGAATGCCCTTATGATTTTAGTCTTTACCTTTTCTTTTAATTACACTCTAATAATCAATATTGACATTACGTTCTCTATTTTGGTAAGAACTCTTTTTTATCGCTACAATTTTTTTACCTACTTTTGTTTATTGAATTATTTTGGCCGGACTTTTGTTTATTGAATTATTTTGGCCGGAATACAGTGAGTCTTTTATTGCATTATTGATGCTTAAAATTAATTACTTCATTGTAGCACCACATATATAAGGTTAAACTTATGGTACAATGGTGCACCCCCCTCAATGTTGCTCTAGCTCCGCCACTGGATGGAATACTTGCTTTATTTTGTTGTCTCCTCTAGGCATCATGGAATACACTGTGTTCGGAGGAGGGGGTTAGGAACCCTCCTCTCCGGCACGCAAAACAAAGTTTATTTTATTGCATGATTAATTAAGTATTAACTAATTTTTTAAAAAATAGATTAATATAATTTTTTTAAACAACTTTCATATAGAAAGTTTTTACATAAATCACACCGTTTAGCAGTTTGAAAAGCGTGCGCGCGGAAAACGATAGAGGTGGGTTGGGAAAATGGAGGGAAGAACACAGCCCTAGGTTGTGTTCGGAATCCCCCTTTCCCAACTCACCCCTCTCTTTTCGCGCGTATGCTTTTCAAACTGCTAAATGGTGCGTTTTTTGCAAAAAGTTTCTATACGACAGTTGTTTAAAAAATCATATTGATCTATTTTTTTAAAAAATAGCTAATACTAAATTAATCACGTGCTAATGAACCGCTCCATTTTTCGTGCGGAGACTCGCCAGCAGCGAACATAGCCAAGTCTTTTAGCAAGCTCGATCAACCTATGTATGGATGCCATGATATTTTGATCTAAGATTCATGAAATATTTGATAGGATGGTAAGACCCTCTACAATGAGCTTGAAGTTGTAGAAGGCATGAAACTTGACAGAGGCTCTCTCTCCTTACTTCATTACCAACCAAAAGAACCAGAAATGTGTAAGTATTTCTGCTGATGTTAATAGACTTCTTTAACACAAATTATCTTGGTTGTAATATATTTCATATGTTACAGGAACTAGATGACCCACTGATCTTGATACATGAAGTGTCCAACCTTCATGCTGTGGCGAAAGTGTTGGAGTTAGCTCTGAAGGTATTTTTTTATTAGTAAAGCTGATTTTTGTTGTTATGACCTTATTTTGCAATTTAATATTCTATCTGCAGTCTGATGGCCCATAATTTCTGCTAAAACAGAAGCAAAGGCCTCTGCTTATTGTTGCAGAGGATTTAGAAAGTGAGGCATTGGGTACTCTGATTATTAACAAGCTTTGTGCAGGCATTAAGGTTGGTGCTATCCCTCCTTTTTCTTTGTGACCCCCATTATTAATATATTATCTGGTCTCATTGTGTGAAAATGCAGGTTTGTGCAGTCAAAGCTCCTGGGTTTGGGGAGATTGTTAGCACAAGAACAAAGGTTTTGGGACTAGTTTTTCATTTCCATTAGCATCAAACTTCAACATGGCTGTTGGGGTGTGTGTGTGTGTATGGGCTAGTAGCTTACACCATAAGGCATAGATTAGAGATGGCAATGGTTCCCCGTCCTCCGATTCCCCGCGGTGAATCCTCCCATTAGGAGGCGGGGGTGGTATAAAATTTGTCTCCACGGAGGATTAAACGGAGTAAAAACACCCTCCATCGGGTCTGGCAGGGGCGGGTCTGGTTCACCGTCCCCCGTCCCCGCTCTCCGTGGAGGCCCGACATAATAGTGTATGTGTAGTTTTACCATGCATATTTGGCCCATCTGGCCCATAGAAACCAGGCCCAACACCAAGAATATATAAAGCATCTGCAAAACCCTAGCCATTCCAATCCTTCTCCCTTCTGTGTTCCTTCCCTAGTCCCCACGTCGGCGCCGACTCCCGATCTCGTAGGCAGGCCCGCCGCGCGCCTGCCGCTCGGCACCCGCGCCGCTAGGTCGTCGGCTCGCCGCGCGCCCGCGCAGGGCCGCCGGCTCTCCACACCCGCGCCGGCAGGTCCCAGCGCGTCCGCGCCAGGTCGCCGGCTCGCCGCGCCGCCAGGTCCAGGCTTGCCCGCGCAGGGCTGCCGGCTCGCCACACCCGCGCCGGCAGGTCGCGGCGCGCCCGCGCCGCAAGGTCCCGGCGTGCCCGTGTAGGGCCACTGGCTCGCTGCTCCGCCACGCCCCGACGCCGCCGCACGCCCGCACCAGGTCCAAGCGCCGTCCTCCACCCTCCGTCCATCCACCAGCAAGAAAGGGGAAAACGATGACCAGCCGCTAGACGCCGCCATGGCCTCGTCTTCACACTCGCGGGGATGGAGGCTCCACGGGGAGAAATTACCCGCACGGAGGCGGTGATGGTGAAAGATGTTGCCCCGTTACATTTCACGGTGATGGTGATGGGAAAAATTCTCCTCCGCGGAGGCGGGTCTGGTGGTGTAACCTCCGACGGGGAATTCCCCGTTGCCATCTCTAGCATAGATACATATGAGAAGAGATTGCTTACATCCAAAGGTAGCTATGCAAATACCAAAATAGATGCTAAACACACAAGACTTAGGCTGTGTTTAGTTCCACGTCAAAATTGGAAGTTTGAAGAAATTGGAACGATGTGACGAAAAAGTTGAAAGTTTATGTGTGTAGGAAAGTTCGATGTGACGGAAAAGTTGGAAGTTTGAATAAAAAAGTTAGAATCTAAACAAGGCCTTAGGCCGTGTTTAGTTCCCCATCTAAAATTCTTTTGATGTATACGGACACACATTTGAAGTATTAAATGTAGACTAATAACAAAACAAGTTATAGATTCCGCCTGTAAACTGCGAGACGAATTTATTAAGCCTAATTAATCTGTCATTAGCAAATGTTTACTGTAGCATCATATTGTCAAATCATGGCGCAATTAGGCTCAAAAGATTCGTCTCGCAATTTACATGCAAACTGTGCAATTGGTTTTTTTTCGTTCACATTTAATGCTCTATGCATGTGTCTAAACATTTGATTTGATATTTTTGGCCAAAATTTTTTGGAATCTAAACACACCCTTAATCTGTTATTCTCCCCCTAAGTCTTGTGTGGCGCCTTCTGGGGAATTTGAACCATTCCAATCCTGGCGCAAAGTTCCTGGAACTTGACCCGCCCAAGAGACTTGGTGAGAAGGTCGGTGAGCCGATCCTTGGTGTTGATGTAGCTGGCCTTGATGCTCCCCTCGTCCAAGCAGCTCCGAATGAAATGATACTTGATGTGGATGTGCTTGCTGCGCTCATGGAAGATGAGATTCTTCGCCAAGGCCAAAGCGGACTTGCTGTCCACCCTGAGCTCCACTGCTTTAGCATCTCTGCCCAGGAGCGAGATCGCCCAACAGCTGAGCCAACAAGAGAGCTGTATCTAAGGATGACATAGTGATCCTTGATGGAGCTGGAGATAATTAAGAAGGCCATTGAAGAGAGAGAGAGCTGAGCAGGTTCATTCTATGCTAGTTTAGTTTTACATGAATCCCTCAAACATGAAGCCACATGAATCCCTTCAGTCTAGAGTCGTGTGGCTTCATGTCTAGACAACTCGGCATTTTTGCAGCACTGTTATTCCATCAATTATATAGTATTGACTTTTTTTTCATCTTAAAAAGAGTTGGCTGAAACTTAAATCTGTCATAGCTATTAATTGAAACCTCTATATGAGAGTTATGTCATATTGCTGTTACATGTAGTTTCTTTCCTTTAATTTTACAGATTGAGGAACTTGCCTTTTTGGTCCATACGACCCGTGTTCTAACCATACTTTGGGTTCTCTAATCATTCAGCTTTGTAGATTTTTGCGTTTGGCTGTGTACACTCTTGACTCTTGTGGAAAACTGGACTGTACAGGCTGGAATGATATCCATTATCTAAAAGAAGTGTTGATTTTTGCATTGTCTGTACTCCACGAGGAATACCCATTCCTTGCATATGACTTGCTATGATGGAATACATGTTTTGTTTTGATGTCTTCTCTGCACATCTAATGGAATATTTTGATCCAAGTTTCATGAAATATTTGACGTCAAATTATGTTGGTTGTAATTTATTTTATCTGTTACAGGAACTAGATGACCGATTGATCTTAATACATGACAAGAAAGTCAGCCTTCATGCAGTGGCGAAAGTGGTAGAGTTAGCTCTGAAGGTACATTTTTATTAGTGTAGCTCATTTTTATTGTTATGGCCTCATTTCGCAATCTAATGGCCACAAATTATTCTGCTCAAACAGAAGCAAAAGCCTCTGCTTATCCATCCAGTTACAGGGTTTATGAATTATGCAATTAAAGGCGACCAAGTCACCTTCACTAGGATAGAGGCTTCCTCGAGCTTTATTTCTTGACTGGCGCATCCGTGCAACTTAGATTCAAAGGAGCAACAAAATTGGAGCCTTCTTTATGTACCTTGAACTTCAAATGCATTAAAGTGTCCAAGTTGACAGCTATGACAAACCTTCTTAAGCCACACGACTCACCAATAGCACCACGGAAAAGCTGAAATTCTCTATTTTCTTCCAGCTCAGAAAGGACATAGCTTATGGATAAATCAAAACCATAATGAAGTTCCGATATGGCAACTTCTACTGTTGCTTCCACAGCATTATCAAAAATTGCCATAGACATGTCAACAGGGCCACAATCGCCACTAAGTCGAAATGTCCTCGGTGTCCCTATCATCGTTACCACGTTGTCGTCGATCTCTATTATTTCATCAATCAGCTGTAGATCATCTTCTTCTTTCTCCCCATTCTTGATTCTCATGTCAAACTCAAATATAACATCAGCAACCATACCAATGCCTCTCTTAGGGCCAGTCATTTCAATAATAGAACCCTGCAAAACTTATAATTATATAATAACTCTCCACAGGAAAAATAAGAAATGTCTAAAGCTAATAATTTCCTAGACAGCCACATGCCAAGATATCTAAATTAAATGAGCTTCTCTTGTACAACAAAGTTTATGATCCTACCAATTCTGGCAGGTCACCCTCATGTTGTTTGACCTGTCAACAGGTGTATTTCTAAGCGATTTGGGCAAAACCCTTTCTGGAATACTATTTGATTCCCTAAGCAAAGACTAGGCTACCTTTCATATAATAAGATGTGCCAACCAACTAGGACTCTCAAACTGTCCCAATACTAACCGACTAAATAACTTTCTAAACTATCTCTTACCATACATAACAACAACAGTGGAGTTAAAAAACCATCAGCACCTACTCAAATCTTTGAAGGAGCTAAAATGAAATTTAAATACTAAAATAGCAGTCAAAGCGATATTCTGTACCTAAAGTGCTAAGACGATTGTTGCGATGGGATTATCCATGCTTTCCCATGATATAGAGGGGAAAAAAGACTTGGTAAGTAGCAAGGGTCCCAAACTATCCTGCTTTGACTTTGTTTTGAATAGTAAAATGCAACTACGGGCGCTCACATTAGCACCTTTACACTGGCATAGCTGTGTCAGATAGGTCTCTAGACCCTGTTTAGATAGTTTTAAGTCCCTATCACATCGGATGTTTGGACACTAATTATAAATATTAAATGTAGACTATTAATAAAACTCATCCATAATCTTGGACTAATTCACGAGACGAATCTTTTGAGCCTAATTAATCCATGATTAGTCTATGTGATGCCACAGTAAACATTCTCTAATTATGGATTAATTAGGCTTAAAAAATTTGTCTCGCAAATTAGGTTTCATTTATATAATTAGTTTTGTAAGTAGTCTATATTAAATACTCTAAATTAGTGTCTAAATACAGATACTAAAGTTAAGTCCCTGATCCAAACACCACCTAAGACCTAAGGCCATTGAGTGAGTTGTTAGAAATCCTAATCTGTCGAGGCTCATTTTATTTATGCTCTGTGCCACATCAGCAAAAATGGCAGGTCTGTGATTAACGAATGAAATGCATTGCACTTTTGTTCATTAATCTCTTATAACTATCAAAGTTTGCAACATACACCGTCCTCGCAAGTCGTAACCCAATCAATCCAGAGGATTAGGATGTAGGGTGACAGAAGAGCAACGCAATAGGGCACATCCGTACAACTTTAGAGGTCTCCAAAAATGCAACTTAAGAGTTCAGGACGTAGATGACACGTCCTACAAGTTTAGAGATTATGATGTACCATGCTTGTAAAAGATTATGGCTGTGCTCGGTTCCCTGCGTTGGGAACTCACACTCCACGCACGCAAAATGGAACAACCTTTTTTTTAAAAAAAATAGATTAATATGATTTTTTTAAAGCAACTTTAAAAACGAAATAGGTGAGTTGGGAAAGTAAACAACCAAACTCAGCCTATACCATGCCCTGTGCATGTTTGATACATTGTGGCCTTCTCTGATTTAGAAAGATTGATGCATGGATTCTGTTTGATTTGGTTATTGCTTTTTTTAATCAAAATTACTACCAGACCTTGCCCAGCAGTGTTGTATTATATAAAAGAAATTATTTACAAGGAAAATAGTTGGTTGTTGTAAAGGTACACCAAACAGCTAAAACTTGGTTCATATGTGTCCAAAAGAAGAAAGAGTTGTGATGACTAGGACTGCGGATGATGAAGAACCAATCCATATCACAGATACACAATTTTAGTTCGTCTATAGTTCAGTCTAGCTTCATTACAAAGAGCATGGACACACTGGAGAAATAAAATAAGCGACGGTACTTTTTTCATCTGGATAGAGGTTTCTCTTTAGTGCAGGACAGATATTTATTTTTGTGTAGAAAGTGATAAAACACCAAATAAGGAGATGTTAGTGTAAACCTGGTAATTGAAATGGCACAAAGTGTACCAAGTATAGCAGGCACTGTGAACCACTGAAATCTATAGGTGCTGCATGTTTGCTCTAAGAGTACTGGACTTTGTAATGCTACTGGATGTTTAATCTTACCAGCTGGAGAAAATTGGAGTTTTGGGGGGATTATATTAGGACACATAAACATTTGGTAGCATCTAATTTATGCCATTGGTGAGAGGTATGCAATAAATTTTCAGATCATTTTGCAGCATCCAAAAGGAACTGAGATTCTTGTGCAACGGCTGCAAGATTTTCTTGATAACTTCATATGAAATATGCAAATATTTTGGTAAAAAAATTGCAAATATTCACATAATATAAACTATGTACAACATAAAAAAAGTATGTATTAAGGAACAACTCTATGTATAATATAAACTATTTATTTTAAGGAACAACTCTATGAATAAACTTATCCATTCTCTATCCTTTATACTCGATGGTCTATCCTTGTTATTATAATTTAAGAGATTAAGTGGTTGTATGCTATCAGAAGTATGAATATTTCAAACACGTCTTCTATGCACGTATCATAAAATTATTGCAGATAAGTATAGGTGTGTACCTGCTGCACAACAATGGGATCATCTCTGCTGCGATTGAAAACAAAATTAAGCATTGAATCCACAACATCTCGTGCTGCAATGTATCCATATAACTGTATTGGGCTACTGTTTGTAGTAGTTTTAGCCAACTTCAGTGAGAAAACTTGCATCATCCCACAAGTCGAATGGTACTGACAATTTTCCGGATTGGGTTTGCATCTTTCAGTCACCGAGAATCTCATTGGCTCCACTTGAGCTTAAGAAAAGATCACATTGGTACTATTGTTAGCTATTTTTAGTAGACAAATAAATAAATATTGCAAAGTAAACTATGCTTTGCTCCATGCTGTTAACATTCTGATGGTCCAGGGTGAACTAAGAATTATCCATGACTAAAGTTATTAATTAAATCACTAAAAAATCGTAAAAACAAAATGCCAGGAGAAGAAGTTGGAATCACTTACTCTCTTCACGGTTAGTGACATCAATACAAAAAACAGAATCCCAATAACGCTCGTTCTTGTATATAGTATCATCACGGTGACTGCTATATATATAAACGTATGGATGCCAGACATCTTCATCAACAGTGTGAATGCTCCCAATAACCTCAACATCCGTAGCCTTGTAATTGCCCTCTGTAACATCCTTAATCGGTAGGTGAATCTTGTTGCTGCTACCAAGCCGAATTTAGTTCATGGGATTGCTGCTAGCCTGCTAGGTTGGAACCCCGTGGTTGTGCAATCCCGCTTATTACCCGGCTTGTTCTCACTTTCAGATCCCAAATAGCGTTGCATACTGCAGGGTCCTAAAGCGAATCTAGCACAAAAGAACAAAAAAAAAAAGGCCAATCTTTAGCATCCAGCTCAAATCTCTACTATTAAAAAAATTGAAGGTGTTTTTGCCGGTATTTTGGTACGTCATCCGTGTATGAGTCGGTTTTTAAGTTTGTTTGCTTTTGAAAATACATATCCGTATTTGAGTCGGTTTTTAATATCGTTCACTTTTGTTAATACAGAAGGAACTATATAAGAAATCTGTTTAGAAAAACTTGCATGTTAACTTGAGACGATCGGACTCCTAACTACAGCTCGTGATTTTCTAAAAATATATATATCCAAGCGAACTCCCACAGTGAATTTCATCTTAACTAAACCATATAACAATAATAAGATTAAAATAAACTTCACCCGTTGCAACACACGGGCATTTTATTTAGCAAGATATAAATATATTGTTACATGAAAAATTCAACTCTCAGGATTCAATTTCTAAATTAAGAAACGGAAGGAGACAAGAAAAAACCGGGAAAGTGGACTCTGCAGTGCTGATGGTGTCGCAATGAGTAGAGCAGCTCGTCGCGCAACCGCTTTAGGCGGAGCAGAACAGATGAAGAAGCCTACGACAGAGCGTCGACCGAGTCGTCTAAGGATCGAGCATGAAAGGCCTTGCATCTGCCTCGTCTCCCCTCCCCACCCTTCCCTTCCCCTCGGCAGTCTCTTCTGAATTGGTCGTAGAGTATACTGGCGGCGGCGAAGCAAGGCAGCCTAGAACCCTATCAACCCTTTACTTATATAGAATAAGTTCACTTTGACTTCCTTAAAAGTAAACCGAATCTGATTCATAAGCCTGAACCGCAAAACTGAATTGGTCAAAGTGAACTTATTCCTTTACGAATTGGTCCAGAAAAGGCCCATCCGGCCCAACTAAATCTGCACCTGAGGGTTAGGGTTTCGCTTGCCAACCTTTGCTTCCCTATAAATACCCAGCCACCTTCATAATCCATCCAGAGTCTCTCTTTCCCTCCCTCCGCCGCCTCACCTGCGCCTCGATTGCTTTGCGATCGATCCAGATAGCAACAATTTGTTCATCATCCTGGTAAAAAAAAACAACTTGTTCATCATGCATCTTTCTTTCGTTTCTTTCATCCTGTTTCTCCTGTGGTATGGAACACAGGATGGGTGATGAATCTTTGCATCTTATTCTTTTCTTTTTTCCCATAATGTTTATGGTTTCTTCTCGTTCCGAAGGAAGGAGAGATTGGATGCCTTTTGATAGATCAAACGAAAGACTTTGGAACGAGAGATTGGATGCCTTTTGATAGATCAAACGAAAGAGTTATGTGTTGTTTGTTTGATTCGGGGTGGATTTGTGTTGGTTGGATTTGAAACTGGAGGGGAAAGAACAAACTGGGGGTTTAGGAATCAAGAAGAAGCCAATTTGCAGAGCAAAGGGGCCGGATAAAGTGCCGATCTTTGCATTGAAGGTTGGCGGCCGCGATTGCAGTTCTCCATGCCGCTCAGATTTTCCTATGTTTTGTGACGGCCTCGAACAAGCTGCTACATCCCCTTTTTAAACTATGTATTTGATCTTCTTGTCATCCTGATGTTTGATCAAGTTTTGATTTTGAACTCGGATTTTTCATTTATGGATAGAGCAGTCTTCTTTTTTTTTTCCCGCAGCATATCGAAAGTTCTTCATTGCTTCAATTTTTTTTGTTTGCCATTGAAAGTCGACAACTGTTAATAGTTTCCTTTCTTTTTACATTTTAATGTCAAGCTGATATAAAAAAAACAAACTGTTAAAACAACGAACGAATGACCTTCTGGCTTGGCATACAGGTGCAATGACATATAGACCACTGAGACCAGTCAATGAAGTCAGGAATAGAAGATGCATAATGTTTGGTGTTCAAAAGTTTAAAAGGGCATGGACAAATGAAGAATTTACGATTCCATTGTAAATTTTGCGCAAGTGCATGGACAATAAAAGTTAAATCCTGTCAGTAGTCGTCTGAAGATAATCTTTGAACGTCTTTCTTGATTCTGATGAATTTGCATCGCTCCAGATTGTACTGTGGGATCATTTCGGAGAGAACTAGGGATCGGACGTCTGATGGATTACGAAAAATCGGACGCTACTTTGGGTTAGTGTGTGCTATTCACATGGCTCTGCTGCATGCATGTAGCTACACACGGTTGTTTCATCGGCTATAAAAAAATGTTTCAGCACTTGAGGTCAAATGTTTCAACTCGCTTCTAATAATGTTTCAAAGAGATATAATATTTAATATCATTGAAACACTAATAATTACTACACGAAACATTGAATCTTAACAAATGAAACACAAAAGAAAATAGTATGATAAATACTATATATTTACAAAGACTTGATTTTCTTGAAATATTTTTATAGCACATGTATATGAAACATCGAGTTGTAACTATTGAAACATAAAGTAACACTTGCTGAAACATATACATAATATGACATGCAACATTTGCAAAATGAACTAAAGAAACATCAGAAAATATTTATTGGAGCATCCAAATAAATTAGTGTGCAACATTCAAAAAAAATCAACCGCAACACAAAAATAAGCTAAAATTAAAATTTATCAGAATGTAATCATGTGAGACCTTGTTATAAAGATTTAATTACAACAAATATGATAGTATAATCCAATCGTATAATATTCGCAACATTTTTAATATTTGCTGAAACATATGAATGATACCTTGTGAAATATTTTTAATTAACTAGTGAATACTTATTGAATCACTCAACCAACACATATGCAACATTTACAAATAAACCAGTGAAAGATAATAAACTACTTACTGAAACATACAAATAGCACCATGTGATACAATAAAGAGAGATATATACATTGCGACACTAATTAAATATATGCAACATAACAAAATGTCAACTAAAACATCTTATTCTCACATGTGAAACATTAAATTTATTTGGTTGAAACATATGTATGTTTTTTATTATAATATAGTCATGTGGGATCTTGTTGTAAAGATTTAATTGTAACGAATACTATGATGTAATCGGATCATGAATTGGATAAGTAATCTAGAAGAAAAATCATTTTCAAGTTTGCTAAAAGGGTGTTATATCCATGCAAGTACCTCGTGTCCTTTCTCCTTCATGTATGCTGCTCAGTAAGGAAGCATATGTAGGATCTGACAAAAAGGCCACATGCATCAAAGTCATAGTGAGAGGTCCGATTTTTTTTTTTTTGGAGATCGGTCGACCGGATTGAAGCATTTTCCGATCTTTTCGTGTCTCTGGTTTGTACTGTGACATGACACAATGGAAAGCTGGTCAAATGGGTTGTGCTGGCCCAGTTATGATGCTACAGTAGCCAGTCGGGCACGGCAGAAAAAGTATACTTTGACTCCCTCAACTATGACTATGATTCATGACATTCAACCACAAAACCGGGCATATCGACTCCTTCAACTATCAAAACCGATGCAAACTATATCCTTGTGTGGTTTTAGAAGCGGTTTTGGCTGACGTGGCGCCCACGTGATGGTGTTGACCCGGTCTTCGTCCCACCGTGTCGCTTATCTGGCACAAGAGTAAAAACAAAAAAAAAACAAAACAAAAATTTGTGCCAACTCCCTGCCACCGCCGCCGCTGCCGCTCCCTACCACGGCCTCCACTCCCGTCCGCTGCCGCCGCCGCTCCCCACCGCCATCCCCACTGAAGAGAAAGGGCGGGGGAGAGAGAGATAAGAGAGAGAGAGCGGGGGAAAGGGAGGAGGAAGAAGGGAAGGAGAAGGAGGATGACATGTGGGTCCCACATGTCAGTGGGTCCCACAATACTTTATTTGTGTGAATGACATATGGATCCCACATATTTCGTTTTATTTTTTTGTTTTTATTCTAATGCCACGTAAGCGCCACGTAGGACAAAGATTCGATCAAGACCGCCACGTATGCGCCGCGTCATCCAAAACCACCTAGCTAGGGGCATTGTTTGCACCGGTTTTGATAGTTGAACAAGTCGATATACCTGGTTTTGTGGTTGGATGACATGAATCATACTCGGGCGATAGTTGAGGGAGTCAAAGTATACTTTTTCCGGCACGGCATGAGATGAGAACGCGATGTTCTGGGCCGTACCTTAGCCTACGCCAAAGCTCGTTGTGGGCCTTGTGGTCTTGTGGGCATGGACGGACACGACTCCTGTAGCAGTTTTTCTATATTTAAACTTTTAGAAAAAGTACACCAAAGGTCCCTCAACTTGTCATCGAGTTACAAAATCATCCCCCAACCGCAAAACCAGATATATAACATCCCTTAACTTATAAAACCGTTTATTTTGGGTCCCTCGGTGGTTTTAACCCTGGTTTTATCTGACGTGGCGGCTGAATCAGCGTGGAACCCACGTAGGCCCCACATGTCAGATGCCACGTCATCACCCTCTCTTTTTCCCTTCCTCTCCTTTTCCTCCCCTCTCTCTCTCTCTCACTTCTCTCCTCTTGGGCGGGCCGGCCGGTTGGTGGGGCGCCGCCTCGCCGTCAACGCCAAGGCATGCGGGATACCCCTGGGCGCCGCCGAGGCACGATGCATCGCCGCCGCCATCGAGGGCGAGGCCCATGCCGCCATCACCAAGTTGTCGTCCGGCGCCGGGCGGAGAGGCGCAATGGGCAGCGGCCGGTGGAGAGGAGTTGGGCGTGGGCGACGACGGGGAGGATGGGGCAGGCCCAGGGCCAGGGAAGCAGGTGAGCTCTCCGGTTTCCCCGTCCCCCTCGTCGGCCCCGCCTCCTTCCTCTTCACGTGGTGCCAGTCCGGTGAGTCACGGGAGGGATTGAAGCGGGGGCGGCGACAGCAACAAACAAAGCGCTGCTAGTACAGCATACACTGCTAAAAAAAAAGGAAGCAGTGAAGCACCCATCCTCTCCGCTGCTATTTGCCTCCATCATTAGCGGTGAAAGACTGTGATATATATAGTTTATAACTTTGGCAGTCTTTTGCTCTGAATTATTGTCACACAACATTAAAATGGCACGTATACGTTCAAACTAGGATGCTAATCACGAGAAGCTGTGAACTCTTAGTTGGAATTTGAGATTTACCGTGGAACTGAAAACTACTCTAAAGAACGGTGAAATCTGAAAGCAGCTACATGCATGGAACAAACCTGAGAAAAAAAAAAAAGGGGAAAGCATAGTTCCAGAACAAATCTTTCTCATCCTTAAATGATTAAGTGTTTTACTGACCTTGTGCATTTCATTACTGCAAAGATCAGGTATCAGCGAGTAAAGAGTTTATCATCCATCTTGTTTGCATTGCACCAGGTATGGAGTTTCAAAAGCTTATGCACCGGTGAAGTCGTGAAGAACATACCATCTTCGCGCGCGTGCTCGCCGTCGGCCTCCTCGCCTACGGTCGCGGGTGCGGAGGAGGTCCGGGGCTGATGACGGGCGACGCGGGAGCAAGCGAGCCGTCGGTGTCGGCAGTATGGGCGCGGTGGATGGATGAGGACGGGGAGGACTGCCATCGGTGGCGTCGGAGCTACGACAGCTGTGGGGGATGGCGGCGCAAATCATGGCACTCAACTGCGTCGTCTACCTGCGGCCGCAAGAAAGAGAGGAAGAAAAGAGAAAAGCAAGAAAGGATTATGACCGGTGGGCGGCGGCCGGACCGGACTGAGGTGGCTAGCGTCGACGACGACGAGGCGTGCGAGCTAGTGAGCAGCACGGACCTCGTCATCGGTGGCGAGGGCGTCCGCTCGTACCTCCTCCGCCTCCCCTGCTGGCCACAGCTGCGCGCCACCATCTTCGACCGCACGAGGGGGACGCGGAGGCCGGCGAGCTCGCGCCGCCACCGGCCACACCACCCTCAGGCCGCGGGCCGCGCGCGCCGCCGCCTGTGCGAGAGCAGAGGCGAGAGGAAGGAAGGAAGGAAGGAAGGAGAGAAACAGAGAAAGAGGAGAGGGGAAAAGAGAGTAGTTGCTGACGTGGCATCCTGAGATGTGGGGCCTACATGGGTCCCACGGTGACTTGGCAGCCACGTGGGACAAAACCGGGATTAAAACCACCAAGGGATCTACTTTGCACTGGTTTTATAAGTCGGAGGATGCGTTGTATCCGGTTTTACGGTTGGGGGATAATTTTGTAACCCGATGACAAGTTGAGGGACCTTTGGTGGACTTTTTCCTAAACTTTTTCATAGCCCTCTTCTATGCCGTGGATTCAGCACGTGAGTTGGCACAACATGGCTCGCTACAAGAGTCGAACCATAGCTGGTCGTCGTCGGCGAGCCCATGCCTTGCTGGGCCAGGCAGCCCGCTTAACCAGCTATATCGTAATGTGATGACCCTGTTGAATGTCTTAGTATGGTCAAGTTATGAAAGTGAGCTTTATTTCATTATTGGCAGGAGCACGAACCACCTAAGGACTGTGTCGTGGTCTTGCTCCTTGTAAATGAAAAGCAAGACACTTTTTTTAATGAAGTTGGATGGGTTATACTCATCTCTGTTTTAGATGGGAATGTCCCATCTTTCCGTTTGGTACGGGGATGAGATGATCCTAATTTTAAGGATTACCCACATATTAGTGAGCGAGAAAAATGGATTGGATTGGAGACTTACTTTTCAGCGACCATCCCATCCCACTTATATTTAAACCAAACATCCTCAAAAATAAGTTCGACCCAACTCAACTCATCCTATCTCTTGAACCAAACACACGCTAATTTGATACATGGAGATGCACTTTTTAAAGGAATTAAATGAGTAGGTGAATTTGAAATATTGAATGATGATTGGCTGAGAAAAATAAGCAGGCGCAGAAAATAAGTAAGAGATGCTATGTTTGGTTTAGATATATAAGAGGGTAGGTGGAGAGATTGTTATATTTTAGAACAAATTTAAACTCTAGAAATAACTATAATTTTGGACAGAGGAAGTAGCAAATGGATATTCAATAATGTAGCGCAGTATTGGTATTGGAGTTAACATTGATTTGCTTTGATGTTTATGTTTAAGGGTGCTTTGGCTACACACTCCTGTGTCCACTAGGAATTCTGAGACTAATTAACTCGGTGTGTCCACTAGGATACCTGTTTTCATCATATGTTTATTTTCACTAGCAATTTGCCCTTACATATGTACAATCTCCATATTTTAAGCGCGGAAAGAATTAATGGAGGAAAAAATCTCTATGGTTTTAATGTCGATCAAAGTGTTCCACAAATTGACACAGGGTATACAATTAATTAGACAAACTATCAATCATCAGTGTCGCACGTGGTAGTAGCTGTAGGATCGTAAAGGGTCTTTCTCACCCCAAAAGCTAGCCTTTCTCACCCCACCATGCATCAATGCATTTCATCAGGATGTTTGGGTGAAACATTTCCAAACCCGATATCTTTTGATGTTATGAAACCCATATTGCCATTAGATGCGCTGCAGGTTATTATCTGGTAATCGATTTCAACATAAATATTAAAGTTGTTCTTGATCATGAGAAAATAGATATATTAAGGAACAAATTATTTTCATTCGTCCTTTCTGATGATTAGTTTGAGCTTGGAAGGATATTGTTCAGCTAGAATGCTGCGTGTTACCCAAGTAGACATTGAGATATGTAGATAGTTGTAATTAAAGAACATTTTTTTATCTTATATAAAAAGCATATATACCACGCCCAGATGATAAAGGCTCATTTAGTTAATATCGTCATGCTCAACTCTCTAGTGTATTATGAAGCCAAAGAATAAAATATAAAAACCATACTGATTTGGCCTCTTTAACATGGACTTCAAGTTGTGCAATTCATGACCAGATTTTCTTTAGTAATTTTAGTTAGAAGCAACCCAGCACTTCCGACCGAGATGGTTGTGCGACGACTGGTAGCGCCCAGCGGTTGAGTTCCTGCTGGACAACTGTGGGCGAAGCGGCAAAATGGCTCACGAAGGCCAGCGGTGGCTGGAGATTGACGATGAAGAAGCGGTCAGTGGAATTTCTCTTCTCCATAGCCACTTAGCCTCTCCTTTCAACATTACTCTGTATGCTTGATGCCCCTCTAATAATAGCTTAGGATTTTTTGAGGCATCGATAGCTGCAATCAGTGCTCATGTCATCATTTAATGACCTGTAACAATTTCGAAAGAACTATGTTGGGCACCAGATGAACCCAGGCAGATGTTCTTTGGATCGGTTTTTGTACACCACAAGGTTCTATAGATATGGTAATATGGAGAATACAAAGTGGTTTCAAGCACGCACAAAACCAGAAGCGCCCCTTGTTTCAAAGAGATGATGAGTTATTCATATTTAATTTGATGGTCAGAGGTCAATCTGTAGTCACGCCGCCATCCCTCCTGCTGATCTCCAGCAACGCGCGGCTGCCTAAAGCGCCACCGCCCCCGTCTCTCCAAATTGCACTCACGCTGTCTCTTTGTCGTCGAAAGGTCATGCGTGCACACTTCTTAAACTATTAGACGGGGCATTTTTTAAATATATATATTAATCCATTTTTAAAGTTTTTTTTAGCTAATTGTGTTAATTCATCGTTCCATTTTACATGTGGTGGGAGGGATTTCTTTCTGGAGAACACAGCTCCACAGCTTGATTATACCGAGGAAAAAATTGAATCCGGACAGATAGAGAGGTAAATATTAACAGGGAGGGGGAAAATATAGAAAGTTGAGCTGATACGGTGAACATATCATATATTTTTTTTCCTAACATGAAACTTTAAAAGTTATTAAAGATAATGGAATTGCACCGTAGCGTTTAGCACGGGCATATTAGTAGTGGTAATTAACCCCAATTAAGAAGACATCATGGGCCTCACCATATTTATTGTTTTGACGCTGACATGTGGGCCCACGTGGGCCCTGCTATTTTTAAATTATTCTTTTGTGTGTAGCTAACAGGTGGGCCTATGGTTTATTATTTCTTCGAGATATAATTGCCACGTAAGCGCCACGTCAATGACACGTGGGACGGAGGAGTAGTCAAACAAGCCACGTAGGCGTCACGTTAGCCAAAACCACCTTCAAAACCACCGAGAGATCTTGTTTGCTTGGTTTTCGTTGAAGGACGGGTCGTACCTGGTTTTGCTATCTAAGGACGAAAATCGGACTGGGCGACAAATAGAGGACCCAAAGTGAACTTATTCCTAAATTTTATATAGGACGGACGGGGTTAGATTCGGTCCCTTTTTTAGGAGAGACTGACGAAGGAAGTACGGAGGGTGGAGGGGATCGTGAACAAAGCGGACGCTAGATCTAGTCAAATTTGATGTGACGAACGAAAAACGGACGAAACAGAAAAGTGACGATTAATTAAAAAAGTTAGTTAAGATAATACTACCTCCGTCCCAAAATAATTGTATTTCTAGGATTCAAAATTTGTCCTAAAATAATTGCAATTCTATAGTACTAATTGCCCCATCAATCATCTCTCATTCAAATTTCTCCCTATTTTACCCTCAACCATCTTCCCACTCTCGCATAAACACCATTTAATGAGGGGCACCATAGTCTTTCTTCTCAAACCTTAATATATGCTAAACAATATAGAATTGCAATTATTTTGGTATGGAGGTAATACGTTCTTCATAGTAGAGATAAAATATTTTAATAAAAAATGAAAATAAAAAAAATCCAAAGAATTCCATCGTAAATCCGCCTGCCGCTCTTTCTCTACTGGTAGAGAATACCGAGCCCATAATTTCGTTTTAGCTATCTGGGCCATGAGAAAGCCCATCTAGCCCAACTGGAACCGCACAAGAGGATTAGGGTTTCGCTCTCTCAACCCACCTGCCCCCTATTTAAATAGCTCCTCCAAGCCACCGTCAATCCATCGTCCCGCCTCCCCCGCACTGCTCCGCCTCCATTGCTTCGCGTCTCGTATTTGGATCTTCCTTCTGTCCATGGTGAATCTTCCATCGGTTCTTGCCTTGTCTGATCTGTTTTTCCATTTTTTGTGTTGTTTCAGTCAGTCAGGCAACTTGTTTATGTGATTTCTTTCGTTTGCCATTGAGCCGAAACGAGTTGCTGATCTGGGTAGATTTTGGATGTGTTGGGTTTCTTGTAGTATTTGGAATTGGGGTTGTAGGAATCATCAGGAAGAAAGCCAATTTGCAGAGCAAAGGGGCCAGATGCAGTGGCTATCTTTGCATTGAAGGTTGGCGACAACGAACAAACGCAGTTCTCCGTGCCGCTCAGATTTTCTCTGTTTTGTGACGGCCTCGAACAAGCTGCTACATCCACTTTCTTGATTGTATCTTTTGTTTGGATTGGGTCTTGATTTTGGGCTCAGATTTATGGCCAGAGCAATCTTTTGTTTTTGTTTTGATTGGGTCTTGATTTTGGGCTCAGATTTATGGCCAGAGCAATTTTGTCTTTTTTTTTTTTGCTGATTTAGGCTTTTGGATTGTTTGAGATTGGATCTCACTTGCAAGAACCGCCGCTATATCTCTATGAAGTACTTCGTTTGTTTTTTTGTTTGCATTTTCAAATCGACAACTGTTAATTTATAGTGAGAAATAAATTTATATTGTTTTGAAAACTCGTAATTGGCGATGTCGAACAAAATGTAAAATAGAGATACTACTGAAATAATCAAACGCGAACCTCTCGATTAAGACTCAGTTTGGTCATATTACCGCGACAAGAAATGGTCCTTTGAACCAAACGAATGGCCTGTCGATTTAATACAGGTTGGAAGTTGGAACGACGAGCAGATGAGTCAGCCAGGTAAAATTATGTGAAGTCAGGATTAACTGATGTCTACTAATATTATCACCAACAGAGTTGCTAAATCTCATACCCAAAATTCTGTTTATGGGAATCCTGGTTCTCTTTCCAAGAGATTTGGCAAAATCAACTCCCTAAAACAAAAAAGTGTACCCATACAAAACTACTAACAGAAATTATTTTATTCTTCCTCTTCCCGGGTCCCGCGTGATTCAGATCTTATCCCTGTTACGTGATCTATCGTCCCTCTACATCGCGCGCCCTTGTATCGTGCACGAACAACACCGGCGCCAGCAGTAGCAAGACCAGCAAAAAGCAGTAATAAGCAAACTCCAGCAGCAGCAAAAATATCTCCAGCAGGAGCAGGAGAAAAAGTTCTCTAGCAGCAGCAACAGAAGCAATCAGCAGTACCTTCACTACCATAGGGAGCAAAAAGTTCTCATTAACTTGTGCTCTAAAACTTCTTTCCTCTGAGCCATAGGGTCATGGCTTGCTCAAAACATGAAAATTTCCAACAGTACCTTCACTACCATAGGGAGCAAAAACAGTATCTAAATGGTTTATTACATACAGATATGGTTCAGTACAACACAAACATAATACCACTTGGAGATTTACCAGAAGTGAAATGAATAATTTTAAGAATGACAACAAATACAATTACTGTTAATCGACAAGATAAACAAAAGTTTGGGGATCAACCGCCTTGGTTGTTCAATGATTCTTCGACAGGCGCACCAAAATTTCTTCGTCGCAATCCGCCGATAGATCGGCTCCGGCCTAATCGTGGTCATTGTGACCATCTGCATGATCGTCCCAAATGGTTCTCGGGTGGTCGACTCTCTCCGATGTCGCCCGCGCGTCCCTGGCAATGGCGGCTATGTATAGGTGGCGGTGGGGGCCTCATCAAGCCGGTGGAGGTTCTTGGGGGAGCAGCGGGTGATTTCTGGCCGGAATCGGGAAGATGCCATAGGCAGCGAAGCAGGCCGAGGTGGCGGCGGATGAGTACACGACGACTTACCTGCATAATGGAAAAAACCGGACCGGCCCGACGGTTGAACCGGAAAAAACCGGAACCAGAGCCTCTCATGGTTCGGTAGCTTATAAAGACTGGACATGCATTCGAACCGCTGTGAACCGGCTGAACCGGACGGTTCTGTATTGAACCGGAGATTAAACCGCCTATGGTTGGACCAGTGAAGGTTTGTAATGGGCCAATGAGAGGCCCAGTATGGTCCATATCATCGAATTTTTTGGCAAAAATGGGTGCGTACTTGGGAATCGACCTCAGGTCTGTGGGTTGAGGTTACATCTCGCTGACCATCTTGCCAGTATATCACTTGTGACTACTAGCAAACATGCACTATACATATACGTAAAAAATCACGGTTGAACCGCCGGTTCATCGGTCAGACCGGCGGACCGGTGAACCGAAAGGTCCGCCGGGTCAAGCTCCGGTCCGAGTTTTTATACTATGCTTACCTGGTGACATTGGCGCGGGAATGAATCGAAGCAGCGGAAAGCCGAAGAATGCGAGGGATTGGGTTCGGCTTGCGCACCCCTACAAATAGAGACCCAAAAACCTGGGGAAGGGAACTCCAATTTTTTAGCAGAATCTGTTGGAGCTGAATTTTACCCATTTATCCCCAAAATCTAGGATTGGGAACCAATCTGTTGGTGATGCTCTTCTTTAGTTGAGAACCCAAAGTGGACTTTTCCTCCAAAAAAAATCGAGCAAAAAGCTTGTCAGAGTCGTGGCCTATTACGCTGGGAGGCCCATTTACAAAGCCCAGTAAGGGAGGATCGTTTACGAATGAAATAAGTTCATCTCAGGTCCCTTAACTTTATACTGAATCCGATTTTTATCCTTCAACCCTAAAACCAGATAGGGAGGTCCTTGAACTGTCAAAACCAATGCAAGCAAGATCCCTCGGTGGTTTGGAAGGCAATTTTGGCTGACGTGGTGCCAACGTGAGATCCCTCGGTGGCCCAACTAAATCTGCACGCGAGGGTTAGGGTTTCGCTTGCGAACCTTTGCTTCCCTATAAATACCCAGCCACCTTCATAACCCATCCAGAGTCTCTCTTTCCCTCCCTCCGCCACCTCACCTGCGCCTCGATTGCTTTGTGATCGATCCAGATAGCAACAATTTGTTCCTCATGCATCTTTCGTTCCTTTCATCCTGTTTCTCCTGTTAGAGTTTGTGTCGAATATGTGTACGTAGTCGGTTACAGTTTAGGACTTGGAGTTGTAATAGGTATTAGGACTAGAGTATGAGTCGGACTCTATCCTAGGTTCTCTCATAAATAGAGGGGCGTGCCTGTTGTAACCGCATAGCGACTTAGCATAGCGAGAGGGAGCGGCTGCCGGCGTCGACCGGCCGTGAGTCATTGTAACTCTGATACACTGATATGCTGGATCGGGGAGGAGCGCCCGTAATCAGTGCCCCGGAGATGTAAGCTATGGCTGAACTCCGTTACCAAATATCGTGTCTCGGTGTCGTCATCGTTTTGGATCTCCTATGGCGTTTTTCTTCCGCCTTTTGCTACCGATGTCGATTTCGGGGCTGGTTTTATAACAAGTGGTATCAGAGCCAGCAGGAGGTCCATGGTAGAGGCGCGATGGAGGTGCTCCACACCGCGTAGCCTGCTGTAATGCCTAGGGAGGGGCATTGGCGCAAGGTGGAGCACGGCGACGATCAACGGAGTCTTGATCGGTGGATCGAACACTTCTGGCAGCGGCCGGAACCGTCGATGGCTGCTTTCAACAGGGAGTTGACTAGACGTGGTGCTCGGGTTGATGGCGGTGGAAGCGATTGGCAAACTAATCAGTGGGTCGGACACTTCGGGCGGGTGGCCCGGACTTTCCGGTGAGCTACTCGACAGGGAGACGTGCGGCCGCACGCTCGGGTTGATTGAAGCTGGAGGCGATCGGCGTTCTCGATCGGTGGATTCGAACACTCTGGGTGGGGTGGCCCGGGCCTTTCGATGAGTTGCGTTCGACAGGGAGATGGCTAGACGTAGCGCTCGGGTCGTTCGGCGGCTGGGAAGACGGCATGCGACTTGTCGACTTCGGCTCGCGACTAGATTGATGGTGTTCAATCGGATGTCGAAGCGGGTGGATCCTATAGGTTGTTTTGGAGGTGTTGACAGGTATTTGCACACTGGAATTGCTTCAAAGGCGGCGTATTAGCGGTGGATGGCAGAACTAAGCGTAGGGCGTCTAGACTAGCATCTGTGCTGGTTCCAACCCTAGAGAGGTCTGGTTCTACTGTTTCTAGCACAGATCAAGAAAATCACGATGACAACAGATCAGTGGCACTAGCCATTGGTGTAGTCGGCAAGTGGTGTTTGGCGGTGGTGCTAGGTTCCGCTGGAGATACAAAGAAGCCCAGGAGGTCAGGGTCGCGGCGGTGTGCGCGTTTTGCGTCGAAGCCGAGCCGGTGGCGGAGATCAGGGTGATGCCGAGAAGGAGCGGGCTGAGCTAGGACATGCAAGGTTTGGTGGTTGTCGGATTCGTGATGCAGAGGAAGACTCGGCCATGGAGTTATCTATGTGTCGGTCACGGCATGGACATGACCGAAGACAAGCTGGATGGATACCGAGTTCAACACGGGAGGGATTACGATACGGTTTTGATTTGGACACTAAATCGGGTGTTCTCCCCAAATAAAAGCAGCAAAGGAACCACGGGATTGCAATGAAGCAATCGAAACAAACCACAAGGCAAGGGCGAGATCTTACCTCCGATTTCGTGGGCAGCGTGGTTTGGGGCGGCGAGTTCACGGGCAGCTGGAGGCGTCATTGCAGGTGGCGCGCGGCGGCGTGGTACTCGGCGGCGTTCATCGGAGCTCGGGCAGGAGCTTGCGGCGGCGGCGGCGGCTCCCGGATGAGGAGTTGGCGTCGAGGACTCCGGCGGCAGAGCTCCCTGGTACGACGGCGGATTCCCCAAGGCCGGCGGTGCGGCGGCTCCTTGCGGGGCCAGAGACGCAGAGGCGGCGGCTTCCCGAGGTCGGTGGGCGGCGGCTCCTCGCGGGGTTGGCGCAGGCAGGACATCGGCGGGAGGCAGTGGTGGTGGGCGACGGCTTCGGCACAGAGGCGGCGCCGCATTGGGGAGAAGCGCGTGGAGGCAGGGAGCGAGACAGGCGCGTGGAGGAAGAGATCGGCTCGATCTGGATCGATCTGATCTGACCGTTGGTTGACTGGTTTTTTGACTGGGAAAATAAAACCGACCGGTTTTTTTTCCTGGAGAAAAAAGAAAAAGGTGGTTTTGTCCGGCCGGTGACTGTGCAAGTTTAGTCGGTGGGTCAATTAAATCAAGGCAGATCAATTTAATCAGGTCGACAGCTGATCAAATTGATTATCGTCGATGGCGACAACGGTGGTTTCCAAATTTGAGGTGGTGAAGTTCGATGGCACCGGGAATTTCGTTCTCTGGCAGATGAGGCTGAAGGATCTGTTGGCTCAACAGGGGATATCCAAGGCTCTTGAGGAGACGATGCCGGAAAAGATGGATGCTGGCAAATGGGAGGAGATGAAGGCGCAGGCAGCTGCAACAATACGCTTGAGTCTCTCGGATTCTGTCATGTACCAGGTCATGGATGAAAAAACGTCGAAGGAAATTTGGGTCAAGTTGACAAGTCTGTATATGTCCAAGTCGCTGACGAGTAAGTTGTATCTCAAACAACAGCTGTATGGTTTGCAGATGCAAGAGGAGTCAGATCTTAGGAAGCACGTGGACGTCTTCAATCAGTTGGTTGTGGATCTAAGTAAGTTAGATGTGAAACTGGATGATGAAGACAAGGCCATAATTCTTCTGTGCTCGCTTCCACCATCGTATGAACATGTGGTGACTATCCTGACGCACGGCAAGGATACTATCAAAACTGAGATAATTTCGTCGTTGCTTGCACGAGACTTGAGAAGATCAAAGAAAAACGAGGCAATGGAGGCTTCTCAGGCTGAGAGTTTGCTGGTCAAGGCAAAGCATGATCATGAAGCGGGGGTGTCGAAGAGCAAGGAGAAGGGGGCACGGTGCTATAAGTGTCATGAGTTTGGACATATAAGGAGGAATTGCCCGTTACTGAAGAAGAGGAAAGATGGCATTGCAAGTTTAGCAGCTCGTGGTGATGATTCAGATAGCAGCAGTCATGAGATTCTCACAGTGTCTAACGAGAAGTCTGGAGAAGCGTGGATGTTGGACTCAGCTAGTTCCTATCATGTGACATCGAAGCGGGAGTGGTTCTCTTCATACAAATCTGGTGATTTTGGTGTTGTTTACTTGGGTGATGACACGAGTTATCGTGTTGTTGGAGTGGGCGATGTCAAGTTCAAGATGTATGATGGAAACGAGGTGCTACTTTCAGATGTGAGACACGTGCCGGGACTAAGGAAAAGTTTGATTTCGCTTGGGAGCCTACATGAGATAGGTTGGTTGTATCAGGTGGATTCTGATAGGAAGACCATGAATATCATGAAGGACGGCAAGACTGTTATGACTGGTGAGAGGACAAGCTCATGTTTGTACAAGTTACAAGGGAGTGCTGTTGCAGGTGGAGTCATGGAAGATGGGCATGCTGGTGTTGCTGTGCACGATCTTGAAGGCGGCGAGCCTGGCGAAGGCTCGTCGGGCGGCTCGGCGTGAGCTGCGGCAGAACCAACTCAAGTCCTGGTACACAGAGGTTCGAGCAAGTAACAGATTCGGATTGGCGTGGCATATTCGCCAAGGTGGAGTTTGTTAGAGTTTGTGTCGAATATGTGTACGTAGTCGGTTACAGTTTAGGACTTGGAGTTGTAATAGGTATTAGGACTAGAGTATGAGTCGGACTCTATCCTAGGTTCTCTCATAAATAGAGGGGCGTGCCTGTTGTAACCGCATGGCGACTTAGCATAGCGAGAGGGAGCGGCTGCCGGCGTCGACCGGCCGTGAGTCGTTGTAACTCTGATATGCTGTATATGCTGGATCGGGGAGGAGTGCCCGTAATCAGTGCCCCGGAGATGTAGGCTACGGCTGAACTCCGTTACCAAATATCGTGTCTCAGTGTCGTCATCGTTTTGGATCTCCTATGGCGTTTTTCTTCCGCCTTTAGCTACCGATGTCGATTTCGGGGCTGGTTTTATAACATCTCCTGTGGTATGGAACACAAGATGGGTGATGAATCTTTGCATCTTATTCTTTTCTCTCTCTTTTTTTGCATCATGTTTGTGTTGTTTCTTTTCCTTCCAAAGGAAGGAGAGATTGGATGCCTTTTGATGGATCAAACGAAAGAGTTATGTGCTGTTTTGTTTGAGTCGGGGTGGATTTGTATTTGTTGGATCCATCAAAAGAAAGAGTTATGTGTTGTTTGTTTGATTTGGGGTGGATTTGTGTTGGTTGGATTTGAATCTGGAGGGGAAAGAACAAACTGGGGGTTTAGGAATCAAGAAGAAGCCAATTTGCAGAGCAAAGGGGCCTGATAAAGTGGCGATCTTTGGATTGAAGGTTGGCGACAACGATTGCAGTTCTCCGTGCCGCTCAGATTTTCCTCTCTTTTGTGACGGCCTCGAACAAGCTGCTACATCCCCTTTTTAAACTATGTATTTGATCTTCTTGTCATCCTGATGTTTGATCAAGTTTTGATTTTGAACTCGGATTTTTCATTTATGGATAGAGCAGTCTTCTTTGTTTTTTTTTCCGCAGCATTCGAAAGTTCTTCATTGCTTCAATTTTTTTTTGTTTGCCATTGAAAGTCGATAATTGTTAATAGTTTCGTTTTTTTACATTTTAATGTTAAGCTGATAAAAAAACAAACTGTTAAAACAACGAACACATGACGTTCTGGCCAGATGCAATGACATACAGACCATTGAGATCAGTCAATGAAGTCAGGAATAGAAGATGCATAATGTTTGGTGTTCAAAAGTTTTAAAAGGGCATGGACAAATGAAGAATTCACGATTTCATTGTAAATTTTGCGCAAGTGCATGGACAAGCAAGTGCATGGACAATAAAAGTTAAATCCTGTCAGTAGTCGTCTGAAGATAATCTTTGAACGTCTTCCTTGATTCTGACGAATTTGCATCGCTCCAGATTGTACTGTGGGATCATTTCTTGTCCCTGATTGTACTGTGACATGACACAATGGAAAGCTGGTCAAATGGGTTGGGGGGGGGGGGTTGGGCTGGCCCAGTTATGACTCCCTCAACTACGACCCGAGTATGATTCATGATCTCTAATCATAAAATCGGGCATATCGACTTCTCCAACTATCAAAACCGATGCAAACTATATTCTTGGTTGGTTTTGGAAGCGGTTTTGGCTGATGTGGCGCCCACGTGGCGGTGTTGACCCGGTCTTCGTCTCGCGTGTCGTCGACGTATCGCTTATCTGGCAAGAGTAAAAAAAAATTGTGGGACCGACATGTCATTCACAAAAAAAACAGTGGGACCCACGGACATGTGGGCCCCACATGTCATCTTTTCCACATGTGAGCTCCCGGCCATGCGTGCGCCGAGGGAGGAGCTCGCCAGCGTCCGCGCGTGCGGGACTATCTCCCGGCCGTCCGCGTATCGAGGGAGGAGCTTGCCGGCGTCCGCGCGCGGGGGAGGAGCTCCTGGCCGTCCGCGCGCAGCGGAAGGAGCTCGTCGGCGTCCGTGCGTGGGGAGGATCTCTCGGCTGTTTGCATGCCGGGGGAGGAGCTCGCCGGCGTCCGCACGCTGGGGAGCTCCTGGACGTCCACGCGCAGGGGGAGGAGCTCGCCGGTGTCTGCGCGCTTGGGATGAGCTCCCGGCCGTTCGCGCAGGGGGAGGAGCTCGTCGCCGTCTTGTCAGTGCTCATTGGCATCTCGAGCAGCGCGTGGCCGCGAGCATCGAGGGCGCGCTTCAGCTTATCCATGTACCGCCGCCGCCGCCGCTCCCTACCACCGTCCCTACCGCCACCATATCCGCTCCCGCCGCCGCTCCCCACCGCCATCCCCTCCGAAGAGAAAGGCCGGGGGAGAGAGAGAGAGATAAGGGAGAGAGGGGGGAGGGAGGAGGAAGAAGGGAAGGAGAGGGAGGATGATATGTGGGTCCCAAATGTCAGTAGGTCCCACAATACTTTATTTGTGTGAATGAAATATGGATCCCACATATTTCCTTTTATTTTTTGTTTTTATTCTAATGTCACGTAAGCGCCATGTAGGACAAAGATTCGGTCAAGCCCGTCACGTCATCCAAAACCACCCAGGTGCATTGTTTGCACCGGTTTTGATAGTTGAAGGGGTCGAAATATCCAGTTTTGTGGTTGGAGGACATGAATTAATTATACTTGGGCGATAGTTGAGGGAGTCAAAGTATACTTTTTCCAGCATAGCATGAGATGAGAACACGATGTTCTGGGCCGTACCTCGGCCTACGCCAAAGCTCGTTGTGGGCCTTGTGGCCTTGTGGGCTTGGACGGACACGACTCCTGTAGCAGTTTTTCTATATTTAAACTTTTTCATAGCCCTCTTCTATGCCGTGGATTCAGCACGTGAGTTGGCACAACATGGCTCGCTACAAGAGTCGAACCATAGCTGGTTGTCGTCGGCGAGCCCATGCCTTGCTGGGCCAGGCAGCCTGCTTAACCAGCTATATCGCAATGTGATGACCCTGTTGAATGTCTTAGTATGGACGAGTTATGAAAGACATGAGCTTTATTTCATTATTGGCAGGAGCACGAACCACCTAAGGACTGTGTCGTGGTCTTGCTCCTTGTAAATGAAAAGCAAGACGCTAATTTGATATATGGAGATGCACTTTTTAAAGAAATTAAATGACTAGGTGAATTTGAAATATTGAATGGTGATTGGTTGAGAAAAATAAGTAAGCGCAGAAAATAAGTAAGAGATGCTATGTTTGGTTTAGATATATAAAAGGGTAGGTGAAGAGATTGTTATATTTTAGAACAAATTTAAACTCTAGAAATAACTATAATTTTGGACAAAGGAAGTAGCAAATGAATATTCAATAATGTAGCGCAGTATTGGTATTGGAGTTAACATTGATTTGCTTTGATGTTTATGTTTAAGGGTGCTTTGGCTACACACACCTGTGTCCACTAGGAATTCTGAGACTAATTAACTCGGTGTGTCCACTAGGATACCTGTTTTCATCATATGTTTATTTTCACTACCAATTTGCCCTTACATATGTACAATCTCCATATTTTAAGCGTGCAAAGAATTAATGGAGAAAAAAATCTCTATGGTTTTAATGTCGATCAAAGTGTTGCACAAATTGGCATAGGGTACACAATTAATTAGACAAACTATCAATCATCAGTGTCGCACGTGGTAGTAGCGCCTTGATCTATAATACTACTATCAATTATCAATAAGTTTACAGTACCAATCCCCTGTGATACAGATGAGTTTTTGCACATGGTATCAAAAATAAAAATTAAAGTATGCATGCATGTCGTCGCTTGCCACAAGATGAGCGCTTAAAATCCTCACGCGTTGTAAAAAAAAAAAAGTACACAGATGGGTTCATGAGATGATCACTTAAATAAATATCAAATCTCACATCGAGATCTACATGTTGTATATTCTGACATAGTATACCATGAATACTAGTAGTACAGCCTAATTGCTCTCTCATATCATGGAGTAGTACATATTAGGGACAATTGCTCCTCTGACTCTATTCTGAACTATAACTACTAATTTTACCCTACTTTTTAAATTTGCTCGTTTGACCTTGCTTTTTAAAATTGGAGTTGCCGTTTGGCCCTGGTTTCATCACACCGTTAGGGTTTCATTTAGAAAATAGAAAAAATATTTTTTTATGCCACAATGGACCAAAATACCCTTGTACACATTCTCTTATCCTCTCCCTCTCATCTCTCTCACCGGAGCTTGTCTCCTACTCCTCTTTCTCGCCGGAAATGGGAAAGATGGTAGCGGCGGCTCGACAAGGAGGAGGAGTGGCGGCGGCTCGACAAGGCGGAGGACGGCGGCGGCGGCGGCATGGGAGGGATGGCGGTGGCTCGACGAAGAGGAGGGTCGGCGGCGGTGGTTCGGCGAGGCGGAGGAGCGGCGGCGGCTCGACGACGAGGAGGGGTGACGGCAGTAGGGTGGATCCGGCGGAGGCGAGGCAACCAGGCGACGGATCTGGCGGAGGCGGTGTTCTGCGGGAAGGGAGGGAGCGCCGTCGGCGGCGACGCACGGAGGAAGGGAGCGCCGGCGCACAGAGCAGCGAAGCCGGTGGGCGGAGGGAGGTGTGGTGGCCGCCGCTGCCGAGCCGACGCCGCCCCTCCGCCATAGTTATTAGGACCGGACCGGACCGACGGTCGGACCGGAAAAAACCGGAACCAGAGCCCCCATCGGTCCGGTCCAGGTAAAAGACCGGCGTGCAATAGACACAATAGACCCGGCTATGAACCGGTTAGACCGCCCGGTTTTGCTTAAAAAGCGCTATTAAACCGGGGTATAAAACCGCTTTGAACCGGCCTGGACGTGGTTGTACGCGCGTGCATGGTGCTGGTGGGGGAAAATGAGCGAAAATATGGCGTGGGTGGGATTCGAACCCACGACCACGTGGGAGTTGGTAAACTCCTCCACCACCAGGCTACTTGGTTCTTTGTGTATGCACTGAATGATTAATATATTTAGTATTTACTGAACCGGATTAGACCACCGTTCCAACCGGTTGAACCAGTGAACCATTGAACCAAGAGCCTCACCACGGTTTGATTACCGGTCCGGTCTCAATAACTATGCCCTCCGCAGCCGCCGTCGCCGGTGGTCTTCCTCGTGCCGAGCCGACGCCACCACCGGTGGACTTCCTCATCACCAAGCCGTAGCCGCCACCGCCGCTTATCTGCTGCCAGCGGCTGCCCCTCCATTGCTGCTCCTCCGCCACCGCTCCTCCCGCCGCTCCCATTGCCGCTCCTCCCGCCGCCCCCTGTTGCCGCTCCTCGGCCGCGCGGTGACCTGCTGCTTGACATTTTTTTGTTTTCTTTTTGTTTTTGGTAGACATAAATTTGCACTATGTATTTGTGTTTGAGGCAATATATACTGATAAGTGTAATAAGAAAACTTTGAGAAACTGGGTTAAATTCATAAGGGAGCAAACTTAAAAAAACATGATCAAATTAGTAGTTAGTCTTCAAAATAGGGTAAAAAACGCAATTGGCCCTACATATTATATATCATAAGTCCTCTCAAGTACATGCTAAATGCCATTGTAAATATTATTTGCCACAAAATTACTATTTTAAGAGTTTGTTGATGAAACTTTTTTTTTTTGAACTTTCAGTGTGGAATTTCTATTATAAATCATATATATTTTGTAGCTGAATATTTTCCTATAGAAAATTTTACCTTAATGAGAAAAACTTTTCACCTTATGATGAGAAAAACCTATAAATGAAAGTTTTATTTGTAGTTAAAATATTTTCTATGCAGGATTTTTCTAAATGTTGTAGTAAAAGTTTCCATCTATAGTTTTTGTAAAAAGTTCTGATACACAAATTGTTTCTTTAGAAGAATTGAAAACATCGTAGGTTATTCCAAGTCGGTCGGAGAATCTGGTACGCGCGTGTGCACACAGTAGCTAGCTAGACGCCCAACAAGCATGCATGGCAAATGTTGATACGTGATACACACTATAATTTAATTAATCAAACTGTAATCCATCGTGATTAAGTATCTACAAGCACATGCTTTGCCATCCTATACGGTATACCCTTGATATCTCCCACTTAAAAATAGTAATTCATCGAATGGCACTTTGAGATCCGCAATCTTTGATATATAATTTCTAGAGAAGCACCTCGAGATCTTCATTATTTGATACATGATATCTATCATGTATTTTAACACCATACGAAACCGGAGCTATCATCAAAACGAAAAATGCTACTACTTGATGATTGTTTTTTGGAAAAAGTACGAATTAACCTCCCCCGAACTATCACGGTCGACTGAATTACCCCTTGAAGCACAAAACCGGATATTCTTCACTCCCAACTATGCAAACCGGACGAATTACCCCCCTCGATTCAATCCGCGGTGGTTTTGGTCTATGTGGCGTACGCGTGACAGTCCAGTCAGCATTCTATTTATAAAAAAAAATTGTGGGACCCACCTGTCATACTCCTCTTCCACTCTTCCCCTCTCTCTCACTCTTCCTCTCTCTCTTCTCTCTCTTACTCTTCCTCTCTCTCATGGTCATCGGTGGCGGCGGCGGCCATGGTGGAGAGGCAGAGCGCGGGGAGGACGCGGCGGCGGCGGGCGGCGCTGAGGAAGGGGGATGAGGAGGAGGACGACGAGGATGGCGTGCACGGCGGCGGTGGCGGGTGACGCGGCGGTGGGGGGGGATGAGGAGGCGGCCGCTCGACACTGCTTCCCCCTCCCTCCTCTCTTTCTCTCTTTGGCGCCGTCAGGAGAGATCGCACAGCGGGGGCGGTGGTAGAGCTCACGGCATACCCCGGCGCTCTGCCACCTCCTCGGCGCCACCCGCCACCGCCGCGTCCTCCCCGCGCTCGGCCACTGCCCACACGCTAACTGTGCGTCCTTCCTGCGCTCCGCCTCTCCGCCATGGCCACCGCCGCTAGCACCGGAGTGTCGCCCACCACTCCTCCATCGCCATCGTCGTCGTCGTGCTCCTCATCCCCCTCCTCGGCGCCACCTGCCGCCGCCACGTCCTCCCCGCACTCCGCCACCGCCCACACGCCGACTGCCGTGTCCTCCACGTGCTCCGCCTCTCCGCCATGGCCGCCGACCATGAGAGAGAGAGGAAGAGTGAGACAGAGAGTGAGAGAGAGAAGAGAGAGAGGAAGAGTGAGAGAGGAGTACGTGACAGGTGGGTCCTAGATTTTTTTAATAAATAGAATGCTGACTGGACTGCCACGCGTACGCCACGTAGACCAAAACCACCGCAGATTGAGTCGAGGGGGGTAATTAATTCGTCCGGTTTGTATAGTTGGGGGTGAAGAATATCTGGTTTTGTAGTTCGGGGAGGGGGGTAATTCGGTCGACCGTGATAGTTGAGGGGGGGGTAATTCGTACTTTTTCCTTGATTTTTTTACTTGGTTTGTTGGTATCCAAAACACATATACATACTTCCCCATTAATATCTCTGAAACTATACATATAAATACAAACTCATGAGTAAAAAAATATTACAAACTTTGAGTGTGATGGGATTCAAAATCCGAGTAATCAAACTGAGTATGAGAAATCAGAAAATTGGGATACTGCAGCAAATTAAAGGTGGGTGTCGACGGCAGCAATGGTGGTCACACTTGCGAGAACTTTGACGAAATGTGGACAAATCGATCATATCTTTCAAAATATGGCACTACAAATATTTCAGCTTAGATGATCGATACACTCATTGAATAGCGACTACTTCCTCCGTTCTAAAATATAACAACCTAGGTTTAGATTATAGACATCACACCTAGGTCAGATTTATAGTAATAGGTTGTGGTATTTTAGAATGGAGGCAGTAACTTGATTAAAAAAAAAAATCTTCAATCAAGATCTTTATTGATGTACTCCCTTCGTCCCAAAAAAAGACAAACCCGGATTTCCGTGTCCAACGTTTTACTGTTTGTCTTATATGAATTTTTTTATAATTAGTATTTTTATTATTGTTAGATGATAAAACATGATTAATACTTTATGCATGACTTATCTTTTTATTTTTTTCATATTTTTTTCAAATAAGACGGACGATCAAACTTGGACACGGAAACCCAGGGTTTGCCTTTTTTTAGGACGGAGGGAGTATACAACAATCTGCAAGACTGAAACCCTGACAGAAGGACTGCAAATTCCGACATACGCACTCCAGCTACAGAACATCACTCATCACTACATGAATGAAAGGGAGGACCCCCTAACATATTTATTCATTACAAAAAACACACTTAAACACGGGAAGCTAATTTTGACAGGTTAGACAGGGTGGACGCTGATGCCAACTGCATTGAGGCACTTCCCACCACGACAAAAGAAGCCTACAACACTGTAGTTTATTTGACAGTGGGAGCCAAAAGGGCTGCATTCTGCCGACCAAATGTTACCTTCAAATAGGTTAAAAATCGGGGCAAAACCCACGGATCGTGAGTTCAATGATTGTCCCCTCGGGTGTTCGCTCATACACCGTTTTCTTTATGACACCAGATGCCATAGCGAACTCGCCTGTTCCCCCAACAATAGCCCAGTCATGAGTCTCTTCAAATATCCCCTTCACCTCAAGGGTGGATCCGTTAAACCTATTTCAATGATCACACATTGCAAAAATGTCATACATGTTTACGAATTTATCTCAGTGCTACAACATCTATTATATACTAAAAGTCCATTAAATTAAACTTCCTCAAAACGCTCTCAAGCCGACACGTGGTGCTCTAATAAATTAGAGAAAATCCTAGAAAATCTGAGAAAAAAGCAAAACATCCATTCGTTGATCTTCACTTAAATCGGTGGATCCAATATTATAACCCGTTAGATTAGATATTGATCTTAAAACAACCTGAACAGCGGCTACTCCTTCCGTTCCCTTCGGTTCTATTTCCGTTCCCTTCGGTTCTATTACATAGGTACCTACGTACGTAACCAACAATGGTTACTCCTTCCCGTGTACGTACGTAATTAACCTTTCCTTCTTTTTATTTTCCATGTACATAGTGGAGACAAAAATAATAATAATAATTTTTATTATTGATAATAAATCAATCTATCTATCTTCTATTACTCCCTCCGTTTCGTTTTATTTGACACCGTTGACTTTTTAGCACATGTTTGACCGTTCGTCTTATTCAAAAACTTTTGTGAAATATGTAAAACTATACGTATGCATAAAAGTATATTTAACAATGAATCAAATGATAGCAAAAGAATTAATAATTATTTAAATTTTTTGAATAAGACGAGCGGTCAAACATGTGCTAAAAAGTCAACTGTGTCAAATAAAACGAAACGGAGGGAGTATATAGTAAAATTCCATTAGTCTCTCCTGTACATACTGTTCGTTTGGAAAAAAACAAACGACGTTTACTGGAAAAACTTGCGATGGGAAAAAAATACCTTTACCTATACTGTTCATTTGAAAAAAGCACGTAAGTACGATAAAAAAAGCTATAAAACCTTAAAGAAAAATATATGTGTTAGAACCATCGTGGAAAAATAGACTATCTTTTTAAATAGGATTTTCTACACTATAAAAATATAATTTAATGCTCATAAATATGGTCATGTGGCACTTCTACAATCACTCTTAGACTGCCACGTGGAACTACGTAATCTCGTCATCAATTTTCATTTAAATTGATGGACCTGTTATGAATAATAGGGGATGAAAACAAACTAGACGCTAAAATATAGATATTTATCAAAATATAAACAATAATATGATACTCTGAAGATTATCAATAATATGATACTCTGAAGATTATCACGGTCGTATGTATGTTTAACGATACATTTTTTAATGACCAACCTCACTCATTTTAAAAGAGAATATTGTATCTATACCATATAAAATTTAAGCAGTACTGATTAACACTACAAACAAATTGTGTCAACGCAAAACGTAAAAAATAATATTTTTAAGGAAAGAATTAGTTTCATCACATCCATCTTCTCTTTCTTTCCTAAAGGGCAACAAGTAGTAAACATAATTATAGGAGGGACATACATATGATTAAGTTGAGGCAGACCCATTGAAGGCCACCGTCGATAATAGCACTCAACTTCCTACTTACTAATGATCTTTGAGGGTGCTGATAGTGAAATACGACTTAAAATTATGCTCCATGCTAGCTTTGATAGGCACGAGTACGTCACTATAAAACCCATGTTTGAAGGCAAAAGAGAAATAAATCCTTGGTAGCTCCACCTATTAGAGGGATATTGATGTCTAATTTTTATCAGTGTTATCCCATTAACCAATAGAAGCAGTGTTTTTAGAATATTTATTTATATATTTAGAAATAAGAGTTGAGATAAATATTTAGGTATGCATATAGTGGAGATTAATGTTTTATGTATTAATAATGTATTAGGCTTATTTTGGTGATACAGATGTAATTCCATTTATTAAAAAGGCATCTAGCAACAATGATAGTTAGTAATGGTGACAATAGGTGAGTTTACGTGTATTATGAACGAAAATGATTTTTGTTTGAATATAAGAAACATTCTTATCGTTTATTAAAGTCTACGGTCTATTTCACGACATATATATTTTTAATTGTAAGGCAAAATCTATAATTTCTTATATGCATATAGTGAGATATGACTTAATTTTATTAACAATAAATAAGGTGCCCGCGCATATGCGCGGGCTTCCTTTCTAGTTATAAACTACAAATATACAGAAACACAAATATTATTGACATAGTACATATTTTACCTTTCATCCTCGAAAACCAAGGTGAAGGAGCAATGCCAGTTGCCAGCGTAGGTATGCAGGCCCTGCCCTCGGGCAACAAGCGTCGCATCGCTCGCAACTCCATCGTACACCGTCCAATTGTTGACGGTCAGCCCACCCATGGCAGTGGAAGAAACGTTGTCTATGATCTGCTGCTGGTTCGGTTCCGAGCTATTGTAGATGTGGTAGAGGTAGAGGTTGGAGAAGTTGAACTCCCTGCCCTTGATGAGTGCGCCACGAGAGGTGATTTCGTAGTAGGAGGCCATGTATGGTTTGGGAGCTAGCTAGATCAAGGTTTTATGAAGATGATTAGATGTGTCTCTAGCTTCTGCTTGGTGAAAGAGAGATATGGTGAGATGGGCTATTTATAGGGCATTATCAGGGGACATGGTGGTCTTATATGCATGTGCATGTGTACTATTGGCAAGATATTTTGATCAGTTCAAAAAAAAATGTTTTGCTCTGGCATGTGTGTAGAGAGTAAATGATTTGTTCTTGCATGCATGCATAGAGGGATGCTGTGTTATGCCTTTTCTGGTTAAGACCAAATTGCCAAACATTAAATTGTTATTATCATTCAAAAGGAAGATTGTCAATTATTACATTTGAAGCACTCGTATACAGTAAATGTTTGACTCACCTTCTATCATGCATGCCAAAGACGGTTAAAACTTTCGCACATGCATTTATATCCTTCTCTTGATTTTGGGACGGAGAGAGTAGCAAAACTGATTGTAGTTTTATTTTTATTTTCTGGTCTGAATTTTCTTGAAAGAAAAAAATGCAAACAGCTTAGAATTACATGCATGTGTGATTATTTTCAGTCTCGTGCACCACGCGTAAGGCAACTGATGATGAAAGTACAGGTGATAACTAATAACATACTAGTAAGCATGTGAGGTCATGTGGTTAATTTGGCTGGACTAGCATGCAATCACTCTCAGTATCCCTTTTATTTTATTTTATTGCAAGGAGATGGTGATATTATGGATTAAACAGAGAGTGATTACAACCCCAGGGAACAGGATCATGCATACAAATATGGGCATCTACCCTGCATCCAAATAGCGCTCCTAGCTAATTGGAGTAATTTATAAGTCACTCTGTTTAATGCACCTTGATCAGAGGCCATGTGTGCTTATAGCCACGATGCAGGCCTGAACCCACGCCGGACGCGTGCAGCCGCGCGGATGCTATAGTTGAGAGAGACTCAAAACTAAAATATTAATCGCTTCCTCTTCTTTTGGAAAGTATCTCTTCATTCTAAAATATAACAATTTCTAGCATTCAAATCCAAAATATAGCAACTTCTCTGCATACATTCTATTTTCAACCAATCATAACCTTTCTCGATCCATTATCTCCACCAACTTTCTTAAAATCTAACCCTAAAACTCCTTACCGCGATTGGTTTTGTCAAAAGGGTCATCCTTGGCATATGACATTTTCAGAGTCGCAAAATTCAATCCGCCTTCATTAATAGCCGATTATATTTTATGACGAAAACTATTGCAATCGCTAGTACAATGATCAAATGAATTATGCCATTTACAATAAATTCATTCTTTTAAATCTTGAAGTGATGGCATGACATAGTGACCAAGTAATCTAATATAATCACTTTTCAGCAAAGCATCAAAAATATGATCGCACATTGTACAATCAAAAGTATACTTTCTTTTCCTCTAGTCTACACTTTTGCAGAGACGGATTTAAAATTAAGCAATCATATGTTTCAAATTTGTTATCTACCCATGCAGATACATAGTTGCTTATCTCTCCCTTGTCCGATGATTTAGAACTGCTCACTGTATTAGCATAATCCTTTTCAATATTTTTCAATTTTAATTTTCTACTACAAGCAAATAATGTAGACATAAACTTTGGTAATGATGATGTGAAATTTTGATCACTTTGCTATTACCAACAAGAAAATTAACCAATCCATTAGAATTACTCATGATGTTACTACTGCATAAATTATTTTCAGATATATGATCAAATTGGAAAATAAATAAGTAAATTACCTCTTAATGTTACCTTATCTGATGTGTTGGAGAAGCATGGCGATCTCTTCACTTGAACGATGTCCTGGTTCATCCTCTGATGGCCTTCCAACATCTCCTCATGGTCTCGTGCTCCATCATCTTGATGCTTGTTAACTTCCTTGGCACGAAGTTCACATGGGAAAACAAAAGCTCCTATACCTCAAGAGAAATCAAGCACCACTACTTCTTCTTTAGCCAATAATTGTTAAGTGATCAGCCTTTTCTCCTTTCTGATGATACTATACCTCGTCTTCTGAAATCGTGTGAGTTTCTATTTCGTTAGCTCTATGTTTTGTACCTCGAGCTCCTACTCTAACTCATGCCGCTGGCCCTTGGATAGATCATCTAGTGAGACGGTTCAGTTGTCGGGATCGAAAGTGTCCCCGCAATTAATATTGGCCTCATCTTTTTCTTTAATAAATTCCGTGTCCTTATACTTGGATTGTAGAACGAAAAAAATGCTTATTTAATATTCTATCCACTAGCTCCTCAAAAGTTTTGACATATGTATTTCTATTTGCCTCTAGCCAAATTTACAATATTTGAGCTATGTGCGGGTATTTTATTAGATGTTCAAGTTATGGATAAACATTTATTCTATTTGATAAGTTCAGGAATTGGATGTTTATTACAATTTGAGGGTTGTGCTTTCCAATTAGGGTTGTTTTATTGTTTAAGATTGTTTTCTAACATCGACTTGTACTTATATGGTAATAACCATATTATTAAGTGGTCAAGCTGCAATCGAGCCTAACTCTTAATTGTTAGGTTCGAAAGTGGATCTTCATTTTGTTGTACAGTATGAATTTATTTGGTTTCCTCAAGTAGGTTTCATAATGAAGTATACGATTATATTGTACACCTACATTTTATTACGCTTTTATAATATATTTGGCCTTACAAGGCCAAAGGTTTATTTACGAAGTTTACGTTGAGAATAAAATGAGAGCGAGAGATAAGAATAAATTCTCATTGATCATAGGTTTGCATATACATATATACACAGGAAACGGTGGCAACCGAAGGGCGCGATGGATGGAAACCATCGCGCCGGTTGCAAGGAGTGCCAAAGAGGGTGAAAGGATGTGGCCCAACCGCCACGGTTCCTTCCCGTGGAGTGAGGGGTGAGAAGGCACGACACAAAATGCAATGCCTAATCTTTAGGACGAAGGTTAAGGATGAGACCATTCCAAAATTTTATAACAGTTTACTTATATGTGTACATAATATACGTGATTATATCAAGGTTTTTCAACTTCTGTGTGTGAACACATTTTAGAGTTATAATTACTTGGGTAACGTCAAATTTTGGTGCATCTTCTAATTTATAATATTTCTACAATGTGTAAAATTAGGCATATGAATTTCTTTGTGTCCTTTGACATGAACATCCTACAGAGTATTCATTTCCTTCTAGTTTATATAGGCCCATAAATTAGGTCCATACTTGTTTATTGAGAAAATTCTCTATGTACCCATGAAAGTTCACCTAATCCCTTCTATGCCCCTGAATTTTGCTTATTCCCTTACATACACCTGAATTTTAGTCTGGATCCCTTGCACGGTTGCACGCCCTTTTCCCTAGTTGACCGTCAGTGGACCGTTAAATTCTTATGAAAAAGTCCATTTTGCCCTTTGCTACGAAGAAACATAATAAATTTATGGAGTACATTGTTGGAGTGTAGAAATTTGTTAGATTAGACTATTATATTTATGAGTTTGTTATGCACCATATTATTTGTGATAATTTTACTTTAATATGATATACAAAGTTAATATTTATTTATTAGTTACTTAAAGTTTTTTATGTAGCATATGTGTTTGATAGTAATACAATAGATTTGTTGTATAAGACAAATATATTAATATGCTACATAAACAACTTTTAATAACTAATAAATAAGTATTATTTTTATGTCATATCTAAAAGTATATTTATTGCAAATAATAGGGTACATAACTAACTCATAAATATAATAGTCCCGTCTAACAAATTTTTAAGCTCCAACAATATACTCTATTAATTTATATGCTTCTTCATAGCAAAGGGCAAAATGAGTTTTTTCATAAGAATTTAATGGTCAACTAACGGTGAACTAGCGGAAAGGGCATGGAAGAGATCCAAACTAAATTTCATGGGTACATAAAGGAAGTAAAATTCATGGGCGTAGATGGGATTAGGTGAACTTTCAAGGGTACACAGGGAATTTTCTCTTGTTTATTTGTGAAGTATTGCCTTTTGCATCATTTTATCTTCTTCACAATTTGTGAGTCAAGTTTTCCCATGTTCCATCATAGTGTTTTGTGACTTACTCCCTCTATCAAAAAAAAATCAAATCATGAGGATGAATCTGAATATACACTATGTCCAGACTCATCCCCAGGATTTGATTTTTTTTAGACAGTGAAAGTATGCGAAGGGAGTCTAACTCAACTAGTTAGGTTTCTTGCGGTGGTCCCAGCCAACTCGGGTTCAACTCCTAGACTTAACACGGGTGCCTGCATTTATCATATATTTTTTTCTACTTGTTTTTCTGTGTTTTTTTTTCTATTTTCTACATGTACTACACAAACACCTGAGCCACAGGGCTTGTGTTCTTTTTACAAAGCCCATGTTTAGCTATGTGGGTAGATTGTGTTGAGGATATATAGTTTGAGAAGACTATAAGCAGTTTCTACGGTTTTTGTCTACACGTGTCACCTATGGACCAATCAGCTAGCAGGTAACTATTGTGAGGACATCCACTACTTAACCATGACGACGATTAACCTCAACCAAGCGTCGGTTCCTCGCGTAAAACTTGGTGGTCACGGACTGCGAGCCAGTGACGGCGCGAGCGTTTGACCAATTTCCACACCATATCCCTGTCCACCTCGTTCGCAGCACCTCTCATCCTGCTTCGCCCGAGACTTGGATTGCCCTAGAGACCGATGTTAGCAAGATAGGGGCAAATGCCCCGAGGCCAGAAGAGCTACGATGAAAACCACCTCGATTTTGATCAGGAGCAGAAATTGGTCAAAGTATGCACCACAACAAAAGCCCTTAAATCGTGAGCCAAAACCACATGCTGAGAGGCAAAGCTAAAATTCCACATGGCACTTGAGATAATAAAGCAGCTTGAGATGGCCAAGGAATGTAGATGTCTTTCTCAAGCAGAGAGACGACTGAGAACGGCTCTAAAGTGTCGAGTGCTCGGACTAGCTAACATCAAATTACCAAAGAAAAAGACAAGCTTCCCGTGTAACAACGATTCATGAAGGCGATGCAAATTCCAGGTTCTTCAAACTAAAAGCAAATGCACGCCGAAGGAAAAACCATAGACATCAACTGTCCAAACGAAATGGTTAGGCAACAATGCATGATGAAAAAGTGCATCTAATCAATGACCATTTCACATCGATTATGGGGAGGCTGGCCCCAAGAGAACGTGAGCTTAGTTGGCAAGCTTTGGGAATCGGTCCAATGGAGTTGCGCTACCTTGCCAAACCCTTCACATAAGAGGAGATACGCAAAGCTATTAAGCAAATTACCTATAGATAAGATGCTAGGGCTAGGCGGTTTCATGATCAACTTCTACAAGAGTTCCTAGGACATAATCAAGGACATAGTGGCGGCTTTCAACTCCATGTATGAACTGCGGGCACCTCAACCTCCTCAACTCGGCGAATGTAGTTCTCATCCCAAAAAAGTGGGGGTCGACAAGATTATGAATTCTAGACCGATAAGCCAGATACATAGCTTCGCCAAGATCCACTTGAAGCTATTAGCACTGCATCTCCGATGCCTTACGCATTTGTTAATCTCGGTGAATAAGAGTGCTTTTATAAGCGGAAGGAGCATCCAAGATAATATCCTCTATGTCCGGAACTTAATTAGGTGTTAGGTGTTAGCATCGCAACATAAGCTCCTCGCTGCTCTTCAAACTCGACATTTCCAAAGCTTTTGACTCGGTACGTTGGAATTACCCACTGCTCAGCCTTCTACACCAACGAGGTTCCCATAGTGGTGGATAAACTGGATAGTCACCATCCTAAAATCCTCCTACTCTGAAGTCCTCCTAAATGGTATCCTAGGTGAACAAATACAACACGGTAATGGTCCGAGGCAAGGCGACCTGCTTTCTCCCTTGCTCTTTATCTTAGCAATTAATCCTCTACATAGTTTACTCTCCATGCCTACAGATATGGGAATGATCAGTAATAAGCTCAAGGGAAGAGCAATACGTCTACGATTCTCCATGTATGCTGATGATGTTGCAATCATCAACTCCCAAAGGGAAGACATCCTAGTCTTCACGGAGCTCTTGACAAAATTTGGGGATGAAACTGGACTATGCACAAACATTCAAAAATCGTAGGTCGCGGCAATCAGATGCGAGAAACTGGCCATTGATGAATTACTCAAAGATCACGAGGGCTTCTTTCCCAATGAGATACTTGGGCCTACCTCTCTTAACACCTCCAACTTCTCTTCGACAAATTAGCAATATGGATGGTCTGATGGAGGGGGAAGAATCTGGGCATGGCTGGGCGATCTACCCTTGTCAAATCGGTTCTCACTTCACAACCAGTCTACCTCCTCATAGTGCTAAAGGCGAGCAAGGAGTGCCTGGAAGTCATTTTTCATTTGGGCATGACCAAGACACCTAATGGGGGGAAAGTGCAAAGTTAATTGGACAAAGATGTTCTCCCCAATGACCAACAGGGGCCTTAGGATTCTCAATCTGGAAAAATTCGCAAGAGTACTATGGATATGATGGTTGTGGCTCGAATGGAAAGCAAAACATGGGTTGGAATGGAGATGCCATGCGATGAAACAGAGAAAATCCTCTCCGTGGCAGCTACAAGTATCACAGTAGGTGACGGGGCCTCCATTAAGTTTATGGGATTTAGTTGGCTAAAGGGACAATTGCCAAAGGATTTATTCTCAGGGGTGTACAACATTTCAAAGAGAAAAAAACCACATTCTAAAAAGAAGTTGTAACCAATAACTACTGGCTCCAAGATCTTGATCTCCCAATCACCCAAGGCATGACGGTACTTCTCATAGACCAACTATTCAACCTATGGACTGCAGTACAATTGGTGGAACTCACCCCACCGAACCCAACGAAATCAAGTGGAAGATTACAGTTCATGGCGAGTACACGGAAACTTCAGCTTACATGGTGTAATTCCTAGGCTCCGTCAACATGAACTACGAACTACTTATTTCGAAGCCCAAGGGCCCACGCAAATGCAAATCCTTCATGTGACTAGTTCTCCAAAACAAAGTTTGGACAACGTTCAGATTAATGACTAGACATGTTCTCGAAACTTCCTTCCATCTCCTCGTGGAATGTAGATACAAAAGGAGGATTTGAGACATGTTAGCAACTTGGATCGGTACGAGCAGATCAAGCCGGACTCCTGGAAGGCAAAAAACAAGGTGCACAAGTGCTGGCAGGCCCTAGCCATGTGAAAAGGAGTGCCCAAAAAAGGGTTGAGAACCCTCTTGCTGATAATTATTGGGATATATGAAAAGAGAGAAATTAGCGAGTCTTCCGACGGGTAGAGCTGTGAACGCACTACAACAAAAACCTTATGTAGAGGCTCTTTTGTAGAGACACTTTTTAGAGGCACTTTCAAAATCGCCTAAAATATTTTTACTCTAGAGACACTTTAGAGAAATTTTTAACATATTTTGTTAAATTATCTTGTAGAGACATCTTTTCGGCACTTTGAAATTTGCCTCATGTGTAAAGGCATTTTCTTAAGGCATTTAAAATGATGTAAAGGCATTTTTCCAAATATTAATATATATCAAGTAACTAGATATAAGTAATACAAATAACATATTTACATGTAATTATATGAGGTTGGGATGGTTAGTGCATTGAAGATAAAAATAGTCAACTTAAGAGGTCCATGAGTTCAAGGATTGATAAGGAATAATATTTTTGTTTTTTTTCATATTGATTTGCTATAGTTGCCGCAACATATTATTGCCTCTACAAAGTGTCTCTATTTGCATAGAGACATATTATAAAATACCTCTTACTTCATAGAGACAATTCATCAAAAGGCATTTATGAGACACTCTACAAAATGTCTCTATAGCACTGTAAAGGCATTTTAAAAATATCTCTATAGTATTAGAAAAATATCTCTACAAGGTGTATTTGACAGTGCTCCTGCAAAGGAAAAAGGAGGAAGGGCACACCTGGATGCTTGCAGGTGCAAAAATACTAGCTGAGCTTATGCCTAGAGGGATGTAAATCCTCTGTGAAGCTTTTGTTTTCTCCCTTGCACACTTGTAAATTTTTACTCCTTTTATTAAATGAAATTGGCACTGTCTTGTGCCTGTTCTTTAAAATAAATAAAGAAATAATTATTGTACTTAATTTTCTAACGCAGTACAATACCAAACACACAACCGAACTGTTCTGAACATATCAGTTCTTTATTTCTGAATCCAACAAGCTAAACTGGAAGCCCTTATATCTAAATTTTGAACAAGTACGCTACTGAATAATGCCAACTCACGTACCGAGCAACATGGCACCGTATCACTCCCGTGCGACGGCAACGAGCTGTTTGCCGATGCTGCTGCTAGTAAAGAGCTTGACAAGTGCTGCCGGCGCAGCGTCGAGCCCCTCAACGACATCCTCTGTGTATGCCACCTTCCCTTCCTTCAGGTACCCGGCAATCTGCTCCTCGATCTGGTAGTACATATCATAGAAGTCAAACACAAGGAATCCCTGCATGCGTAGGCGCTTGGTGACGATGCAAATCATGTTATACACTCCCTCCGGCTGCTCCAGGTTGTACTGTGAGATCATCCCGCATGCCGCTATGCGGCCAGCTACCCGCATGTTAGGTAGCACTGCGTCTAGCATTGCACCACCTACATTCTCGAAGTAGATGTCGATACCATCTGGAAAACACCTGAGACAAGCCAAATCAGCGGGTTTGTGTTATTGCTCTATTTGGAACATTGTAATTTTATTTGATTATATTGGAAAGAATATGGAGGAGTGCAGACCTCTTTAGGGCTGCCTCGAGGTCTAGCTCCTTCTTGTAGTTGAAAGCATCGTCAAAGCCAAATTTGGTCTTCAATAAGTTGACCTGGAGATGCAGCCGGTGGATTCTTAGCAAATGCAACAGGACAGGAGCTATGAGAGGGCATTGATTTTAAGGTCTATTAGATTATACAAACCTTTTCATCAGAACCAGCACTACCAACCACGTAGCATCCTGTGATCTTAGCAAGCTGCCCAACAATCTGACCTACGGCGCCGAATGCTGATGAGATGAAGACATATTCACCTTTCTTTGGCTTGGCCACTTCAAAGAATCCACCATAGGCAGTAAGCCCTGGCATTCCTGAATGATCAAAGATAGTCAGTTAGAGAAGATAACGAATTGGGGGCCCCAATTTGGCACTTATTTAATGAGCTGTAACAAAAATAATCAACCACAGGTTAACTGGAAATGTCACAAACTATAACACTTTGTTTAAGATAAAAGGTTAAGGGGATCAATCTAACTTTTAGATCAGAAAGGACGAACACAAAATAAAACACCATGTTTTATCAGATGTGAAGCAAATATATTAGAGGATGGTTTTCAGGGAGTAAGGGTCCTCTGGGTCTATGGGGCCCACATGTCAGTGAGCAGTACTGTAGCAGAGGATCTGGATTGGTTTTCAGCAGAGGATCTGGATTGGTTTTCAGGCAACGCAGTTCAAAATTTCCTTTTGACAAAAACAAGATAGTGTACACACAAACAGAATGACAAGGAACTCACCCAGAATACCAGTGTAGTAGGACAGAGGAAGTTCAGGGTGATTGATCTTGAAAAGTGTTTCTGGATTGTTGATCACCGTATATTCTTCCCATCCGGTTATCCCCCAAACAAGATCACCTGCCTTGAAATCCTGGTGCCCAGATGATATCACCTTCATCACGCCAAAATTTACCAAAACCTGAAAAGTGTTTATCCCATAGGATAGCAAAAATATATATACTAGTCATCAACCCGTGTGTTACGTGGCTATAATTATTTATATTATAGAGTTTTAAAAATTTAATATCTGTCAATTACATCAGTTACTAAATTGAGAGTTAATAAATTTGAGCATTCCGAGGACAAATATATCTGTGTTTATTGTTCGAAAATCAAAATTAGTATTTACCAAATTGTATATAGAATCCATTTTCTACTATTTCTCTTGTTATATTCTATTTTCTCCAGCTGATAAATTTGTTTACAGTCCATGTCATCATCACTGGAATGACTGTGTAAGATCCTGTATCATTACTTCAAGTTAATATAGATACTTGATCATCAAAGTCTGGTTCCTGTTTAATAGCTTTGAGTTGATATTGCTACAGCACATTAAACATTTCAAACTGTCTGGAAGATTCAGAATAGCATAACACCTTTGTGAGGCTCGAGATTTAGAAAATAACCTGATCAAAATTTTGGAACTAATAAGTTTTGATTTGTATTGATGTTGTTGTTTCAATTTAATATTTATATTGTAAATTTGAAATTAGTAAGCACCCAACTACTACCTCCATCCAAAAATATAAGCAGTTTTGGACTTGACATGGTATTCAATATGCTACTTTGATCAATAATATTTATAAAAATAAGTTATTTTAAATAAAAGAAGTAGCTTATTATGATTGTTTGTTTAGTGATAAATCCGATAACTTCATTCTCACATGACCAATCTTTTTTATTTTTTTGATGCTAGCAGTCAAAGTTAAAAACGTTTGACTTGCTTATATTTTGGGACGGAGGAGTACATTTTATTTGAGTTTCAATTATATATGTTTCATGATTTAATAATTCTAAAACTTTAGTTAATATATATTGAGATGTACCCGGTTTGGAGTCCCAGTTATAATTTTTCTTTTATATTTCTATAGTTCCAAAATTTAGAATTAAGAAGTACAAAGTTTTATTTGAGCTACCCAATTAAAAATTTCTTTTACTTAATTATAAAAATTAATAAATGAGTAAATTTTGGAAAAAAAAACCTCTTTTTTTGGTGAAAGTTGTAAATAACAACATGTATTATTATTTATGGTACATGGGAACATATTCTATGCACACAAGTTTCCCGGGCACACCGACTAGCAAATGTCACATAAAATTCTAGAAAAAATTGGACACATACTTCCATTGGAAGTATTACACATATGCATGAAATTTTATTTTCAAATTCATTATATTTTAACTGTAACAAAAGAGATAAAATTCTAAAAGATTTTTACCTTTAAAACTGTCATATTTTTCACCTTTTTGTTATGGCTAATATATAATGAATTCGAATACGAGCTTTGCAGATATGTATAATACTATTAGGTGTAAATGCTCAATTTTTTAGAGTAAATTTTATAAAACTACAGATACTTTGCACGATCTATCACAAAACTACAGATCTAAGAATTTGTTTCACAAAAATATAGATTCAGTGTCTTCGTATAAATAAAACTGCAGGTACTTTGCACAATATATCAAAAACTACATATTTAAGAACTTGTTTAACAAAACAATAGATTTAATATCTTCATTTATCAGAAAACTATAGGTTTAGTGTCTCCATTTCTAAAACCTGTAGTTTTGTGATAATGAGGACACTAAATCTGTAGTTTTGTGATAAATGAAGACACTAAATGTGTCGTTCAGTGATAAACGAATACACTAAATCAATAATTTTGTGATAGATTATACAAAGCACTTGTAGTTTTGTGATAAACGGAGACACTAAAGCTGTAGTTTTGTAAAACAAGCTCTAAAATATGTAGTTATGTGATAAATTGTGCAAAATACATGTAGTTTTGTGAAATTTACTCAATTTTTTATATAACTTTTCATAGCATTTGGTAGTTGATTTGCATGGAGTGTGCACGATAAGCTTATTTGCATAGGATATGTCATAAGTAGTTTAAACTTCAAACATTAGGTTTATGTTCACAAGAAAATAATAGAAAAAGGAACTGAGTTTTTCACCTGCATTGCAAAATTAGGGAAGGGAACTATACAGATTTTCAACATGGAATTTGGTATAATTCGGTAAATATTCATTCAAGAAAAAAGAAAAAGGAATAGTTTGTGATCATTAATGGTGATATATAATAACTTAATTAATAGTAAACACGTAAAAGTGCACACAGACTCATTAGGAGCAGATTACTATATTACTCCTTCCATCCCAATTTAATTATCACCTAAAATTAAATTTTAGGTTTTTCTCAAAATACTCACCATCTTAAAAAAACATATATTTATTTATTTGTGCAAAAAGTAAACGTGCATCGTGAAATTCTTTCGATGCATGCAACCAAGATTAATTTATATTCTGTTCAACCCATGAAACATTTAAAGTGTGAATTAATTATTTATGTTAGATATGAAGCGATATATTGTTCAATACATGAAACATTTAAAGTGTGAGTTAATTTATATTGGACATGAAGCGACGAGCACCTTAATTGATGAGAATTAGTTTCAGAATAATGGATGTTTTGGTGTTCTTGGTCTTGATGCTCTTTACTTAGATAATAATCAAATTGGGATAGAGGGACATAGTTAGTTCTACAACTCATACCTCTCCTAGAACAAAGTCCGGAACATAGCTAGGCTCCTCGTGGTAGGTCATCCGGTTACGCATGTAGGGGTCGCATGAGATATACAGGTTCTTGACCACCACCGTCTTCGACCCTGCCGGCACGGCCAGCGGCGGTGCCTCCACCGTCACCACCTCCATGTCGTCCTCCGAGACAAGTCCCGTCACGTACCGCTTCAGTATCACCCTCTTGTTGCTCACCACCGTCGCCGCCATTGTTGCCCTCGTCCTACCCTTTCTTCTCCGAATGAACTGGGAGGGTCTGCCTAACCAAGCTACAATTGGATGCCTGCTTGCTGCACAGCAGGTAAGGTCGTATATATAGGCAGAATAATGCACTGCTGGCCTTTCCTTCTCCGAATGAACAGGGAGGGTGTCTGCTAATCTAGTTAGGAGTACTTATTTGGGGGAGAGTCTACCTAATGCAGCTACTTAACTGGGGGAGTATCTCCCTAATCTAGCTACTTAATTAGATGCCTGGCTGCTATAACCTAGCTACTTAATTAGCTAGATGCCTGGCTGCTATAACCTAGCTACTTAATTGGATGCCTGGCTGCCGCCCAACACGTAATTTAAGGTCGTGTATACGCGAGCTGAATGCTGCAAAGAAATGTTTGTTAAGACTTACATTATTTTAAGCCAAATTTTACTATAGGACATTCCGTTTTAACCGTAGAACCACAATGTGATTTTTAGAGAAAACTTTCGACAATATTTTATAAATCCTTCCGAAATGATCACATAAACTATATATCTTGTCGGCTTCGCCGCCCTCGTCATTTAACCTCGTCAATCTCAAACGGCATGCTGGTGCAGATTGTTTGGTGAAAACATACATGAAGTTTCGTAGCTTGGACTTGCTTAACGTCACAACAACAGCGTCCGGATTAGATTACAGAAAGGAATCGGGAGTCATTGGAGACGGATGGTGTAGTTTATGCAGTGAAAGCTATCTCACACCACAGTCAGCCTATCACCTTGTATGCAATGCTTGTAGTCTGAATTTCGTTGGTTAAACTTGCCTGGAAGTCTGAAAATTGGAGCTGGTCCTAGCATTTTGCCTGAATCAAAATGCATCCTGGGAGTACTGAAAAATTGTAGGTATGCTTTGTTCAATGTGTGACTTGTTCATTCAGTTTCAGCTGTGAAAGCTCTCTCACAATACTCTCCGGTCTGACTTGCTCATTCAGTTTCAGCAGTGAAAGCTATCTCACAATACTATGCTATGCTTGGAGAAAATGGTAGCCAGACCTGCTCTGCTTTGGACCAGCTGATGTTTCCCAGCTTTCCTGCTTTTTGCCATAGTCTTTGGTGATTTCCCTTTCTTCTGTGTTAACCCTGTTCCTGTCCAATATTATTTTTCTCCTTTCTCTGTACTTTATTTGTTCTTGCAAGTGTGCTGTATACATTAATCAATGAATAATGATCAGCATTTGGGGTTTTTTTCTTGGTTACTGGTGTAGGTTGGTTATGGTGCCTGCTTGTTTTTCCATTGGTTGCGACCAACTGCTCTTGGAACCTTAGTTTTGTTTGATATGGCTACACTCCAAAAGGTCCAGATCAGCAAGTGGGATCTAATTAAGATTCCTCAAGTTCTATCCGTTCCTGAAATTATTTTAGATAGTTGTTATGGGCAGAAGAGACAAGTGATGAGCTAATCCATCTTCCTAATGAACTATCCCCCACCCCAATAATATTCCCAGCTGAAACTACTGAAGAACCTGAGAGTGCAAATTAATGAAGAACTGAAGTATAGAACCATCTGGAAGCTAAAACTAGTAGACTCACTTTGCTACTTTGTACCTGAAAAGAGTGCTTAGATTTTGTGATATATTCATGTTTTTTGACCTAACAGTACCTGTGTGTATGCTTGTTGTGAATCTAAAATTTATTCTTGTTGAATTTTGGCCAGCACCCTTGGCTTTCTTAATTGCTATACTTAATGGAGTACAAATTTGGGATGCATACAAGAAGTCATACTTTGATCTACGCGTAATGTTATTTGTCACGATCAATAATTATCCTGTGGTTGGAAACCTAGCGGGACAGACCGTTAAAGGTGCTAACGTATGTTTGCAGTGCCCATATGGCACCGCGCACCTATGGCTCCTCCACTCAAGAAAATTGGTTTACATGCGTCATCGTAGATTTCTCTGAAAATCACACCCTTACCATAGGAACAAGAAAGATTTTGATGGGACTCAAGAAGAGGGTATTGCTCCTAAACATAAGATAGTGGGAAAGAAATCTACAAATTGCTGAAGGACATCAGAGTTACCTTGGACCGACGATGCTATGGCAACAGCACGTGACGAGCCGATCGAATAGAAGAGAAACATGTTCGTCATGCAGTCGATGTCATACATGTCGAGAAGAACGTATATGACAATCTTGTTGGCATTTTGCTAAACATACCTTGGAAAATTAAAGATACTCTGAAGTCTAGAAATGACATGGAAGAACTTCAAATTAGCGAAGAGTGGCACCCTCATGAGAAAGAAGGTGGAGGTAACTACCTCTCGACTACATGCCACACCCTCAGCAAGGCCGAGAAAACCAGTTTTCATGAATGTTTGTTTATATGATATCAAAGTTCCATCTGGTTACTCGTCAAACATTAGAAAACATGTCAATATGAAAGATAATAAATTAGTTGGCATGAAGTCATATGACTGTTACGTGATGATGACCCAACTACTCTCCGTTGTGATAGGAGGTATTTTGCCTTAGAAAGCCCAAGGACCAATGTTGGCCCCCAGTTTTATAACACAGGGAAACTCATGTGTTCACAATACCAACTCCCTGGATCAGTAGGTTGGCATCCACATGTTACATATCTGGTACATCACAAACTGCATTGTTTAGATCTTACATACTTAATATTACAAGGGTTGCCTAAGTGTGACCCAAATAGACCAAGTCTAGTAGGATGCATTAACCAAGTTCCAAAAGATAAGATAAGATAGCGAAAGCGAAGCTGTGGCGGTCCACCTACTCCAGCATCTTCTACGTCTAAATGAAGTTCAAAAGCAAGGGTGAGTACCAACCGTATTCGGAAAGCCACTACTATAGAATGCTTTTAATGCACATGAGGGCTCAAGTATGGTTTAGTTTACTTGCAGAAAGCTGAATTTCGTAAAGCCTATGATTTAGCAATTTTAACTGAAAACAACGTTGAGTTGTTATTGTTGTTTATTAGTGATGGTTCATCAACCTTCCCAAGCCTCGTTTGGTCCGGTTTACCCTCGCAACTACCAATGTTTGAAATTTTCCACCATTTTGACCTTCCTGCACATCGGGCAAGGTCACACCTTCCTTTTCAACACTATTCTAAGCAAGATTAAACTTATGAGGCTAGTCAAAGGTAGTAGAAGTCTCGGCACTCATTAACCGCGAGCACCGCTATTCAAGTAGATTTGTTTACTCACACTGCAGAGGATGTACGCTTTGAATCCCATACTCTATGACGCATCCAACACATGAGACTTGAGACTTGTCACGGCCTGGTTTTTCGATTTCCCTTGTGTTGCTGCACCCGCTCCAAGGACTATAACCCCTCATACACCCCGGTATATAATTAAGGTGCATCTTAAATTTTTGACTTGTCGTTCCATCGATCCAACACAAACGTAACAAGTCCAGAACTACCATGACATGTGCCACCCTACTTGGGTTACCTATTCTACCAATTCTATACCCACTCAGAAGTGCGACCGTACTCAGATCGTTTCCTATATAGCTTCCTAACTTGGTCCTCTGACCAGGGTCAGCGGCTAGTGGTTTCATAGAACCACCCATATTCTATATGTGCCACCCCGGTCAAAAAAGTTTTGTTTAATTAAGTTTTTGGTTTTTTGTAAATGTCTGTATATTGCGGGTTGCGCTATGTCTCCACCCGCCTTCGAACAGTCACCCATGCCAAGCGCCTGCCCCAACCACATCCATATATAACTAGTATAGAGCGAAAAATCGTTTAGATAGCATTGGTAAGTGGTGTCAATAGTTGACCATGTATAGATATTAGATTCAGGCTGCAAGGAGTTAAGGAGACAATATCAAGGTGGTTTGTAACCATGTTTTAGTACACAGTTTTATAATTAACATGTTCTAGGAGGGGGCGTAGTGACTTGCCTTAATCAATCAAAGGTTCTTGCTCGGCTGGTTCGGTTTCCTCCTCACAAAGGTAGCCTGTTTGGTTGAATCGCGGTATTAATATAACATAACTTTTGCTCCAACGGAGAAGGCAAAGATCCTAGAAAAAAAAGATAAAAAAAAATGCAAAACCAATGCCATTTTATAGATCTTGTATTTAGAAAAATTTTGGTGAAAGTTTCGTCGAAAACCGACTTAAAAAGAGAAAGTCACGGGCTTTGGAAGATTTAAATTTGACTTAAATAAATCCAATAAAAGAGAAAGGGAATTGTTGGGATTTTCTTCCATTTTCCAAAAATTGTTTTTTAATTGAAAAATCCATGAGGGGATGAAAGGTGGGGCCTAGATCAAAGCTTTGACTGGTCAATAAGACCTTTGACCGGCCTGGGGCCCACATGTCGGCCTCACAGTTTTTAAGAAGATTGTTTTAAAAGGATAGGAAGTGGGACCTGCATACTTAACAGTTTATTTTTGATTAAATCCTCTGCTAAGCGCCTAAGCCTAAACCCGGTTTTGAAAGAGTGGGCCCCGCTGCCCCGCCCGCATGTCTGTCTCTGCTCTCTCTCTCTCTCTCTTACGCGCGCTCTCTCCCTCTCTTTCTCACTCGCTCTCTCGACCGAGTCAGCACCGGCGCCGGCGGCGAGGTGCTCGGAAGGCAGTGCGGCCGGCGATGGCAAGCTCCAGGGAACCCCCGCCATCTATGGACAGCGGCGCGCGGCCTGGGGAGGACAACGGTGGCCGGAAGGGTTGGGTGCAGCGGCCAGCGGCCGTGTGCGAGCGCCATGGACGCCGGGGAAGCGGCGGCACCGCCGCACGGGGGTGCGAACGGATAGCTCCGGGGCTTGGACGATTCCACCGGCGCACGCGCACGGGGTGGTGGGGGCCGGATCGAGCACGCTTTTCCCCAAAAGCGTCATGGCGACGGCGGCCGGGGTTCGATTCCGGTGGAATCCGGCCGCCAGCGGCGGTGACCCAGTGTTAGCGCCCATGGTGCTCGACCGACGCCTTGGGTGTTCGTCCGAGGTTCAAGAAAGATTTTAAGAGTAAGCTCAAGTTTTAAAACGTTCGATAGGGTTCACGGCGCGTAGCGAGGTTTTGCTCGATCTCCATCTCGCCCCGGCCTTGGCGCTGCTCGAGATGGGGCGAAGAAGAAGGGTGTTCGACATGGACGGCCTCGCCCGGCTGCCGAAACGGGAAGGCGGCGCATCGAACGACGTACGTTCCCCGGCTTGTCCACGCGCGACGCGTTCGTCCGCAGCGCGTGTCGCACTCGCACGGCCGACATACCGCGAGCTGCGAGCACAGCAGCGGCGGTGGATGCGGAAAGACGGCAGCATAACGGTGGCGAGGCTCTGTCTTCTCCGAGAGGAGGGGAACGAGCCGTCGGCTCAGCTGGTAGCCAAGGGCCCGAGTTGGGCCGGCTAGGGACGTATATTACATTTTTTCAGGAAAAGGCCTAGCTGAGAGGGTTAGAGTTAGAGGGAGCTAGCCTAGACTTTACAGGACAAAGTCCGTTTCACAAACCAGGAAAACCTCTTTTAAAGACTTTGGTTATTTTCTCCCAAGTCCATCGTACACCGTGTTACACGGATCGAATCACAAAAACTAAGCCAACCAGAGGGGGGTGAATGGTTGGTATACTCCAAAACCAAAAACTTTTAGCGGAAATAAAAGTTACCCTCGAAATCGATGGATCACAGTCTGACCGAAGTAGTAGCGCCGGTCTGACCGCCTGATGAACGTCGGCCTGACCGATGTAGATTAATCGGTCGAACCGTCGAAATCACCTGCCGCTGCCTACCTGCGCCGCCGGTCTGACCGCCCTAGCGCCGCTGGTTTGACCGCCACTTGTTGCCGGTCTGACCGCCGGTGAGATGCCGGTTAGACCGCCAAAACCCGATGAAACACTAATCGAAGAACTCTCAAAATAGATGACAACTTTATTGCTTCTCTCTGTGTTTACAAAGTGCACCAACAGCACTCCTTACAAAAATCTCGACTGAACTCGAAATCCTAACTAAACTAACAACTCAATTGCTCTCAAAAGCGATAACGGGAAGCCTCACGCTCCCCCTCTATTTATACATGAGGTAGGTAGCCTAAAGCCACGAACCAAACTCATACTAAGAGTCCTAAACACACATTGTTCATCACAGAATAAGAATCAAAACACACGTTGATCTTACACACCGGCCAGCTGTTGACAGTCAGCCCACCTATCCCAGTAGAAGCAACATTGTCTAGGATCTGCTACTGGCTTGGTTTTGAGCATATATTGTATATGTGGTGCAGGCAGAGTTTACAAAGTTGAACTCCTTGCCTTCAGTGAGTATGCTGCTGGGGATGATTTGGATGTACGTAGTAGGAGCCATTGGTGGCCATGGTGGTGAGAGCTGGGCAGTGGCGGACCCAGGATTTGAACCCAGGGTAGGCCTAGCCAAAAAAAATTCGAATGTAATAAATATGATTCGATATATAATATGATAAACGATATGGTATATAACTCTAAATGATTCAATACAAGTAGAAAATAACAAATAAGTTTGAATCTTACCTAAATCAAAATGTAATTTTTTTTTTGCAAGAAGTTCACAAGCATTTTTTTTTTGCTGCATGCTTTTGAAAAAGCAATGGAATGCTCGACTTCTCCATGCCTCAATCTCCTGGACTCCTAACAACCATGAACCATCAAACAATGCATAATTGTTATATAAAGGGGTAGTACACTAGTGCTGCATAATTGTTATATAAAGGGGTAGTACACTAGTGCTGCCTGTTGGTCTACTACTAGAACTCTAGTCTCTAGATTCTAGAAGGGGGAGAGGGACTGTGGAATTGCTCACCGGAGTCCGGAGAGGCGAAGAGCCGGAGATGGAGTGGCGCCGGCCGCCGGCCGGCCTGGGCGGCTGCTGACTGGGCGCTGCTGCGCTAGCCGCTGGCAGCGTCGCTGCGTCGGCTGTCGGGCTCGGGCAGGGCGGGAGCCGGGAGTGGGACGCCGGGAGCAGGACTGTGGCCTGCGGGAGGCCACTGGGCGACGGCCGGACGGCGCGGCGGGACGGAGAGAGGACGCGGCCGTGCGGGCGCCGGCACGGGGCTGCCGCCACGGCTGAGCGCGTGCGCCTGGCGGGACCGCGGGAGCCGACCAGCCGGGAGGAGCGGCGGCCGGCGGGAGGAGCGGCGGGGGCGGGAGCGCCGGAGTCACGCCGGCGGCCGGCCTGCTGGCTCGCGTCGTGGGAGCGCCGTCGCCGTGACGCCGTCGAGTGGGAGGGGAGAGAGCGCACGCCGCACGGGGGGAGACGACCAGACTGGAGAGGAGTCAGGGTTTTCTTTGTTTGATGGGCTAGGCTTTTTTCGTGGGCCAAAAAAAATGAATACCTAGGGGTCTCTGGGCCAAATTTTAGGGTAGTCCTGGGCCTACCAGGACTACCCCTTGGGCCCACCCCTGGAGCTGGGGAACTAATTGTTTTTGGGTGCTGTGTGGTTGGGAACCTGGGAGCAAGATGGCTTTCTGGTGCTTGGTATTCATGGTGAGATGGGGTATTTATAGCTGGGCATTCTTTGGGCCGGCAATAATTTTTGTTATTTCGTTCAGGATACTTTGATTCGCTTTGGAGACTTTGCTGGGAAGAACAATAGCTTTCAGTATGAGGCCATTTACAGTGTGCCACCAAATTATACCGGTCCTCTCATACCACACAGATCAAGAACAGTGCTAGTCACATGCTCCACAATGCAAGCTACAAGTAGTGGTGGGTCCCACCATCTCTCTCCTTTACCTTTTCAACTCCACTGCATTGGTTTTCTTTATTCTTTCCTTTACCTTTTCAACTCCACTACTCGGTGGAGGAAGCGAGGTGAGCGCCGGCACCGAGCGAAGTGGTGGTCGCGTGGCCCAAGCAGCGCCGGTGACGGCTCCTCTCCTCTCTCTCCTCCTCTCCTCCTATCTTCCGATCAACGGCTAGCGGGAGTTGGGGATGGCGCGGCGCTCCGGATCTGGAGGCACGGCCCTCTCTCCTCTCTCCCCTTCGTCGCCAGCGCGGCCTCCTTCTCCAGCTTCCTCACGCAGCGGCGGCGGTGGAGGAGCCCCGGCGACGCGACGGGCGGCGGGTGGCGGGCAGGTCGAGCGGCGACGGCGCCAGGTGGTGGGGCGGCCCGAAACGCGGCGGCACCGGGCTGCGGGCGGGGCGGGTCGAGCAGAGATGGCGGCGGGCGGCGGGCGGGTCGATCGGCGATGGTGTCGGGCGGTGGGCGGCGGGCGGCTTGAGCTGTGATGGTGCCGGGCAACTGGGCGGTCGAGCGGCAACGACACCGGCCGGCGATCTCCCGTCCTCGTCGCTGGAGGACTACGCGTTCACCGCCCCACCGCCGATGCTTGAGCGAAGCCACTTGCGTGAGGCTCCGCCCCCCCCCCCCCCCCAACAACGCTTTCTCCCTCCTTTTTTGGTTCGAAGAACAGGTAACCAAGTTTGGCTCGGAGTAGCTCCTTTGGGTCCGGGTATAGCTGATATGGCGCCGAATATTTGATTCTTAGCAACGAGGCCGAATGCCACGTCCTCCCACCTGACCTGGTTGTAGTCGACCGAATGCCCGAGAACGCATGACCGATTGCAACACGTGTGTATTTGTCAAATATACTATGGATTTTTCATGACTAGATATACACCTAAATACCCCTCCTTTCCAAAATATAAACATTTTCTATACATTTTCAAAAATATATATAGATAATTTCCAAAATACAAGTTTTTTTTTGCATTTTCCAAAATTTATCTGAACATTTGCAAAAATGATTATATTTTAGAATAGAGATAGCAGTAGTTAAAAAGAGAGGACAGTCAGGGGACGTATAAAAGACTTTTATGTTTTTGGCTGACCATTGATCCCAGTATTTTTCATTGGGTCTGTTTGGCACAGCTCCAGCTTTAGCTCCATCTCTCCTAGAGCTGGAGCTCAGCCAAACAGTTTCAGCTCCACTTAAAATAGGAGCACAGTTGAGTGGAGCTCTCTCATAGAATGAACTAGAGTTGTGGAGCTGAGTTTAGGCAGCTCCACAACTCCATTTCAAACCCAACTTCCGAAGCTAAATTTAGAAGTTGGAGCTCTATCAAATAGGCCACATGAGTTGCGAGCCGCTCTAGTTTTGATGAAATGAATCACCCACGAGATTCGGATACTGTGTTGTGTGTCCTCCTTGGTTAGCTCTTTCTTCACAGGATGAGCTGATTTGAGGATCCCCACTACAGCCTGCTGCCTGCCACCAAGCACAACGCTTTGGGCCCATTTTTTTTTTAACTTCATCGATGCCTTTTTATTCACCCAGCAGGTTCAGTGATATCACGAACCACAAAGGCATTTACAGAATCTGGGAGGGGGTCGACCCAAACAATGGATTGACCCGGGTTCCAACTAGCGCCCATTTTAACAAGATCATAGGCAACACTATTACAGCAACGGGAAGCATAAGAAATATCGACATGGATAAAATTCAGCCTCTTCTGCTTGAACTGATCACCGCTGGAGAAAAGGAGCTTCAAAACCGGTTCACATCCCCTTTATTACCGGTTGTATTTGTAAGTACCGGTTGAAAGAGCCGGTAAAAAAGATGCATACTAAATCGAAAATAATATGTGGGATGTGTGATTTAAACTCAAGATCTCCCACCTCAGTTCTCACGCGCATTATCATCTCACCTACTACATACATCTGACTTGGATAGAGATGTTTTCTTATTGAACTAACCCTGGAAACATCTTTAGTACTGGTAAGTAACCGATACTAAAAATATCTTTAGTCTAGGTTGGTGATACCAACTGATACTAAAAATACATCTTTAGTACTGGTTGGTAATATTAACAGAGATAACACCAATCGGGACTAAAGATGTTTCTAGGGATTTGGACTAAAGATGCTTTAGTATCTGTTTTTAATCTAAATATTTATGTTTTGGGCACTAGCATAAAAAAAGATCGTTTCTGTAGTGGGATGACCGACGTGGTTCAGCTGCTCTTGGTAATGAAGAATGAATGGATGACCAATGCGGATCCACGGTGCAAATTAATCCATAGAGTGGCTAGGGTCTACATTGGTCGGCATAGAGCTCGTCATAAGCTATTACGATTTATTAGCGACTAAAACTTGAAAGGTAATTTTTTATTTGCATTCTTGAAGTCCTAGATAACCAAGCTGGAAAAGAAACAGCGTTAAAATTATATCAAAATTAAGTTTTAAAATGTAAATTTAGGTAGCAGTTTATAAGCTGTTGGGCAATCGACAAGACCTTAGAAATGAACTCTTTTGGCCACTAAAATCAGTTTGCTATATTGTCATTGGCATGGATGTGATGTGGATAAGCATATACAGGCTACCTCCAGTAGCATGGGATAAGATGTGCACACCAAAAAGGAATGGGGTCTTGGTGTGCTCTATTTGGAAGTTTATAAATAATTCCTCGTTACTCCCTCCATCCTAGAATATAAAAAGTTTTAGAATTGGATACGGTTATTAATAAAGTAGGTAGAAGTGAATGGTGGAGGGTTGTAATTGGATGAGTAGTAGAGGTAGGTGGGAAAAGTAAATGGTGGAGAGTTGTGATTGGCTGGGAAGAGAGGCTGAGTTTAGTTCCCAACTTTTCCTTCAAACTTCCAACTTTTCCATCACATCAAAACTTTTCTACACACACAAACTTCCAACTTTTCCATCACATCGTTCCAATTTCAACCAAACTTTCAATTTTTGCGTGAACTAAACACACCCAGAATATTGGTGGACAAATTGTTATATTTTGGGGCAAATCCTGAGAGCTAAAAATTATTATATTTTGGGATGGAGGGAGTACTTAAAAAACATTTGCACCTGTTCTTTAATCATCATGATATTTCTTGGGTACACATGAGCTCTCGCAATTATACTACAGCAACCAGCTAGCATTACTAAAAAACTCTCTTAGGGACCGGCACCTATGGGCTTCTTCTCACCTCTGCACGATGAAAAAAAATAGGCACCTTTAAGCACTATAGATACCGGTTCTACAGGAAAAATCGACACTAATACTATAGGTATCGGTTTTATTAAAAAATCGGCACCCATCAAAACTGACCGAGCTGAGACGATCTATCCGCGCGCGCCCCTACCGCATAAAATCCGTGTCCGAGTTGATCTTATCCCCATTGAGTCGATCTCCTCTCCTCCTCCACTTCCTCCCCCTCCTCCTCTGTCTGTCTTGCACCTCTCCGTATGTGTCGGTATCAGCAGGCGGCGGCAACACCCTCCCTTCTACCGGATCCGACGGGAGGGGAGGCGGCAAGAGGCGGTGCCTGAGGGGCGGCGGCATGCGGCGTCGGGTGGCGGTGGCACCCTCCCCTCCACTGGATTCGGTGGGATGGGAGGTGGTGGGCGGCGGCAGCGTCCTCCCCTCCGCCGGATCCGGCGGGAGGGGAAGTGGCTGGCGGCAGGCGTTGGTGAGTGACGGTGACGCCCTTCCCTCCGCCGTATCGGGCGGGAGGGGAGGTGGTGGGTGGCGGTAGCTCCCTCCCCTACATCGGATCCGGCGCGAGGGGAGGCGGGAGGCGGCAGCGGGCGGCTCCCTCTTATGTTCCCTGGCCTAGTATGGCGGCCATCATGAGCTCAGGGCGGCCGGCCAGACGAACCCGTGGGTGATGTGCAGGCGGATTCTCCATGACGGTGAGTCTAATTGGAGTGACTTCAATTTCGGTAATTTGTGTGGAGGATGCTGTTGGTTGATGAATCGATGCTGAGATGTTGATGAATCATGATGTTGATGTTGATGAATTGATGGTGAGATTTTGAATAATCAATTTTTGTGACCTGTGATGATGAATCATGGTGTTCTTAGATGTGGTATGGGGAGTTGCTCGATGCATCGGCTCGAATCGAGCCGATGTATTGAGCCGCTTTTTTTTTAATTCCTAGAACGTCAAAGATGCCGGTTCATAGACGTCTCAAAGGTGCCGACTAACAGGTGTTGTTTGGGAATACTGGCACCCATCGGGGTTTCCCAACCGGCACCTATAGCTCTTTCTGTAGTAGTGGAGTCGCCATTTAGACTAGCTATCAAACAAATCTTTTTGATAGAAAGATAATCTGAAACAAGTTGATTTATACAAGGCTATTGAGAGAGGACAACCAGGCAATGGAAAATAAATTATATTCTGGAAAGGTCAATTGAATATTGGATAATTAAATTTCCCAAAGGTAGACCGACTTGAGTCTTGGCAGCCAACCAGTCGACATTGGTGTAGGTGGTGAACGTTGTCATCAGTGAGGCTTGAAGGAGAAGACCACTGTCCAATGTTCCCTTGATGTAGGATATGCTTGATCAAGGCATTGTGAGTATCCGGAGGAGCATGCATATGCAGATCAACTTGTTGAACGGCGAGGGCAAGGTAGGACCACACGGGGGTGGGGTACTAAAGAGCACCCGCAAGGCTGTGTGCTGTTGGAAGCAAAGAGTTTGGCCTTCGTATCAATGGAAGTGGCAGTTGGATGACACTCCATCATGACATCACGTTGAAGTAGGTCGTTAGCATACTGACGTTGACACTGGTTGAATATCTGCGAAGGCATGTCAATGGGAGACACCAAGGAAGTTGTGCAACTTGTTGAGGTCTATCATGGCCAACTCAGCATGGAGACGAATTGTGATAGTTCATAGTAGCCGAGTGGAAGAGGTATGTAGGATATGATGTCACCAACATAGAGGAGGTAGATGGTTGTTGGTATTTGTTACGATCACAAATAAATCTGCAAGCAAGGATACCACTGTAGCACTTTGCTTCAGAGTATTCCAAGTATATCGAATCACAGGGAACGTGTGTATAAAATCTAAGAAACAGGTTCGTCCAAGGACAACAACTAAATGGTAGGCGGAGGAAAGAGAGGATTCCTATGGGTTAATATTCTTGAATTCAGTGAAGGTAGAACTCTATCACTTGCTACAAGCGCCGGCTTTCCCCTGGTCTGCCAAGCGAATCCAGCCTATAGCTCTATGACGTACCCGAATGTGGAGGATTACAAAGGACGGACATGGTTGTCACCACATGCCGCCTACCTCTATGACCAGTGGAGCACACAACAAACATTGGTAACCTCTAACCTAGACATCACGTCCACATTATTGATTACTACTCTAGCCTCGCATAAGAACATTTGGAGATTAATTCTTTGAAAAATCACAAAAGCCCACCTCATGGGAAGGCATGCATGAGGATGTTTAGTACCACCTTTTTAATCTTGGAGAGGGAGACCTACTTAAAAAGGAGAGTACGCTCGCTCGCACTAGCTTGGCATGGTGGCACATGTATGCATCATGTGTGTGAATAGTTTGAAGAAATTGGTTCCTCATCCTTGCACAGACGCAGTTTTCATACGGCTGCGTAATTCGGTGTTTGTTGTTGGAAACCTAGTTTCTAGAAACACAGTCCAGATAGTTACGAGTGAGGTATCCGATTCAGTTACTTGTTGTGGAGATCGTGCATGCGTCCCGAGTGAGCTATCCGATTCAGTTACTTGTTGTGGAGATCGTGCATGCGTCCTGATCACGAGTACTGTTATCTTTATATAAACCAAGCCATCGCCTCCTCATAACACATGTGAAAACAATCTAGGGTTTGCCTCCTCCTCTGTGCTACACAATCGCTCTTAGGCTACTCCATCGCGCTCGTTGGTGTGCACTGACAATCGGGATAGAAGGTCTTCGGAACCTTCACGTTCGACGTCTTGCACCAGGAGAAGGTGTCAATATGGTTTTTAGAAGCACATCATGTGACTGCTTATTGGTCTTTCACTATGCTCATCTTCCTCTTTGTTCGGGTTCTATGTGTCATCGACAACACCCGATACTGCAAGATGTTTCTACGGTGCACGTTGCTCCTCATCAACCCGATCCATAACAGAACTAGAACTCTCGATACACATTCACTATGTCCTGCATATTCGATCGATTTATGTTTTATTGTCTAGCTTACATGTTTAGATCACATGATGTGGTCTTCTAGTTTACATGTTAAATGCTACCATTTTTTTATTTAATAAATTAAATCTACATGTGCTTATATTTCCATCACAAACAAATGCAAAAACATTGTTTTACCCCGTCAATATTTAAAGATGTCTTATCCTCTTAGGATATCTTTGATCCTTTTTAAGTTGTTATGAATCTTAAGATTCAACAAGAGGGTCAATCAATTCTTTGTAGTTCATCTCAACAAACAAAAATCGTTGTACTTAATTTTCTAACACAGCACAATACTGGATAAGTCACCCAAATCGTTGAACATATCTATTCTTTATTTCTATTTTCTGAACCCCACAAGACAAACGGGATGCCCCCATTTCTGAAATCTGAACAACTACAGTAGTACTCCTCGGTAATGCTAATTTGCGTGCCGAGCAGTGTGGCACCGTATCACTCTCGTGCGATGGCGACGAGCTGTTTTCCGACATTGCGGCCGGTGAAGAGCTTAATGAGTGCTGCCGGTGCCGCATCGAGCCCCTCAACGACGTCCTCCACGTATGCCACCTTCCCTTCCTTTAGGTACCTAGCCATTTCATCCTCGAACTGGTAGTACCTGTCATAGAAGTCAAACACAAGGAACCCCTCCATACGCAGACGCTTGGTGACGATATAGAACAAGTTTTTCACCCCCTCTGGCCGCTCTAGGTTGTACTGCGAGATCATCCCACATGCCGCGATCCGACCACCTAGGCGCATGTTAGGTAGCACTGCATCTAGCGTCTCACCGCCCACATTCTCAAAGTAGATGTCGATACCCTCTGGAAAATACCTAAGACCAACCAAACCAACATGGATGAGTTATTGCCATGCATGGAATATCAAAATTGTATTTCATTATATTGGAAGGAGTACGGACCTCCTTAGGGCTGCCTCGAGGTCTGGCTCCTTCTTATAGTTGAAAGCGTCATTAAAGCCAAACTTGGTCTTCAATAAGCTGACCTGGAAATGCCACACATTGATTTTCAACAAATGTAACTGGAGGTCTCAAATGGCCATTGGTTTTTTAAGGTCTATTAGTTCTAAAGTTGCAAAGCAGATGAGATTGTATAAACCTTTTCGTCAGAACCAGCACTGCCAACCACATAGCAGCCTATGATCTTAGCAAGCTGCCCAACAATCTGACCTACGGCACCAGATGCTGCTGAAATAAAGACATATTCACCTTTCTTCGGCTTAGACACTTCAAAGAATCCAGCATAGGCTGTAAGCCCTGGCATTCCTGAATTTTCAAGGATTTAACTCAGTTAATTAGAGAAGAAAACAACTTGAGATTTGTTTGAATTAACTGGAAATGTCATGGAGTGTAACACCTTGTTTACGGAAAAAAGGTTAACATGATCAATCCAACTTTGAGATCATAAAGGATGAACACAAAATAGTACACGTTGTTTGATGTGAAACAAATATATGAGGGGATGATTTACCAGGCATTACAGATGAAAATTTGCTTGTGACAAGAACATGTTAGTGCAGGGACAATGAACTCACCTAAAATACCAGTGTAGTAGGACAGAGGAAGTTTAGGGTGATTGATCCTGAAAAGTGATTCCGGATTGTTAATCACGGTGTATTCTTCCCATCCGGTTATTCCCCAAACAAGATCACCTGCCTTGAAATCTGGGTGGCCGGATGATATCACCCTCATCACGCCAAAATTTGCCAAAACCTGCAATGTGTTTTTATCCCGGGGCACAGCAAAATTATATATTTTTTAAAGATTTCCGGTGAATGAAAAACAGAGCAATTTTTGTTCAGATTTATATATTAATAATCTCATTAATTTTTGTATTCAGAGTATGTCACTTGTGAGGAAAAAAAGGCTCCCAACGTCCAGAGGGCATGGATAAATCATGTGTGGTTCAACTTCAAACAATAGTTTTATGTTCACACAAAAAAAAAGGAACATTAGTACATGGCAAAGGAAAGGGAACTGAACATATTTTCAATACGGAATTGGGTAATTCGGTAAACATTCCAAGAGAAAAATAAGGAGAAATTAATAGTTTTTGACCATTAATGGTGACATAACTTAATGATAAACACATAAAAGTGCACTAATAATGGTGACATAACTTGATAATAAACACATAAAAGTGCACACAGACTTATTATGAGTATATCAGTTTATATTATTAATTTATAAAAAAGATAATTCTATGACATTGAAAGCTCGTACCTCTCCCGGGATAAAGTCTGAGACATAGCTAGGCACCTCATGACGGGTCATCCGGTTGCGCATGTAAGGATCGCAGGAGACATACAGGTTCTTCACCACCACCGCCTCCGACCCTGCTGGGACGACGGCCAACGGTGGCACTTCCGTCGTCACCACCTCCATGTCATCCTCCGACAGGAGCCCCGTCACGTACCGCTTCAGGATCACCCTCTTGTTGCTCGCCGTCGCCGCCATTGCTGCTCTCGTGCTCACCTAGCTCCCTAGCTAATTCTCCTGGTGAGCGGGGGCCTGCCTGCCTAACCTTTATAGCAACTTGGATGCATACTTAGCTGCCGTGCAGCATGTAAGGTATATATAAGTGAGCAGTATGCAGTGCTGGCCTCTCATCTCACGGAGCAACGTGATCCATGAGGATTCTGCGCCTGGTCAGGTGTGATCTGGATCAGAGGAGCTAGCAAAGGACAATGATTTTCGTCTGTATTGCATTTGGACACGGATGGTGTCTGGCTCAACCAATCGATAGTTGCATAGTACTGCTACCACTAGCCCACCACCACACAGCACATCGGTGGCACAGACGATTTCTTTCATAGGGTAAACACTGCTAGCACTTTATTCACTTATATTAACCTGTTTACAATCTTCATCAAGATAAGATAAAAAAAAGTTCTGAAGAAACTGAAAGCTAAGTTGTGAAACAACTAGTAGAAGGCCTTCCTTTGGTACCCTATGTGGTATACTATGTTCGCGAAATGTGGAACCCAAACTAACTTCACACATAACTACTAGAAAAACGATTTTTCATGGCGTTACCCTATAATTTTCGCTGACGGCCATATGCAAAAATCGTCAGCAAAAATATAATGAGGGGAGGGGGGTTACAGACCGCCAGCAAAGACCGATTTTCGCTAGCAGCCATGCTAAGAGGTCAGCCATAAAAAATAACTCTATTTTCTTGAGGCGAACCTCTTAAGTGTCCGCCAGCAAAAATCATGTTTTCACTGGCGGTAGGTAAAGGGGACCGCTGTGAAAAAGTTTTGAGGCGAATATGTAAACCCACTGCACTAGCCACCTACCGCCCCCACCTCAGTCTCTCCTCCTCTCCTTCTCCCTCGTGGTTTCTCCTTCTCCCTCTCCCTCCTCCACTGCCGCCGCTACTGGCTGCCGTCACCACCACCGCCACGGGCTACCGTTGCCTCTCCGCCGCGAGCTCGGGGTTGGATCCGGCCGCTGCGTCGATGGGGGAGGCCGGATCGGCTGCCGCGACGATGGGGGTGGATAGATCGGCTGCCGGGGCGACAGCGGTGACCGGATCCGTAGCCACGTCGACGGGGGAGGCCAGAGCCGTCGCCACCACGACGGGGTAGGTCGGATCCGCCACCGTGATGACGGTGGAGCCCGGTGGGGAGGCCGCCGTGACGACAATGTGACCGCTGCTGGGCCGCAGCCGGCGGATCTGGCCGTGGGAGAGCCTTGACATGCTCTTCCCCGCCGCCGCGACGAGCTCCTCCCTACTCCATGTGGTGGCGACATCAAGCTCCATGTGGCAGGGTCTGGCGGCCATGGTGGAGTGCAGCGATGACCTCAGTGGCGGTGGCAGCGGCGATGGGTGTGGTGGCCGTTGTGGAGCGCAGCGACAATGGCAATTTTTTTTTCTTTTTGTGATTTGTGAATGAATGTGAGTTTAATTTGTAATTTGTGAATGGATTGGAATGTTTGTGAATGAATTTGTTGAATTGATTATGAGATTTGTGATGAATTTGTGATTTGTCAATGGATTAGGGCGGCAGAGGATTTTGGATTTAGGGTGGGGGATTTTTGGGTAGGAGATTTGGGATTTAGGGTGGGGGATTTTGGATCTGCTGGTGTGATTTTCACTGGCGGTTCTCTTTAGGTAGCTGCCAGTGAAAATATATTTTCGCTAGGGGCTAATTCCCGCTTGTGAAAATACGCTATTTTTACTGGCCTTTGCTTATTGGCGGCTGCACTGGCCGCCAGCAAAAATATAAAATAGCCGGCAGCGAAAAGCTTTTTCTTAGTAGTTTATAGCCTGGAAAACTCTCAAGCATATATTTCAAATCTTGATCAAGCGGCTATGATCAACCAGCTAATTAATTTCTTAATTTCTCTCCCACCACATTTACCACCTCCACGGAATTTGTTTCAACAACGACATTTATAGCTCCCAAATTGATTGCCAAGTTGGCATCTCTTCGGCAAGCGAATATTTTTTGCCGTGATATATAGATAATTTATGTGTCGTACTATAACCTTTGTGAATGAGTTTGGTTTCGAACAACCAGTGGGTTTGGATGGATTGCTGACACAGGAAAGCCGTCCATGTATGAATGGTGGCCGATGGGATGAAGCAGATGTTGGTGGCTATGTTTTGGCTTGTTTGGCTCCAAAATGATAGTGCGTGAGGGTTCAGGCTATGCCAAGCATGAATATCTCCTTAAACCCCACCGGCATAACACTTGCTCTGGATACCTTTTTTTTTTGAGAAGCCCGCCTTGGATTATCTAGTTCTGAGTGAAAAAAGATATCGCGAGCACGATCTCTTTCAATAAATCAGGTGCAATAAATAAAAAAAAGTCATTTTGGGGAAGTACTCCCGTCAATATCATTGTTTTCTCCTGTCTGACTTGAGAAAAGCAGATGTACTAACTAGGTATTGGCCAAACTGGAAAGCCCCCAATTTCTGAATTCTGAACTAGTACTATTACGTAATGCCAACTCCCATGCCAAGCAGCGTTGTCTCACTCGCGTGCAACGGCGACGAGCTGTTTTCCAACGCTACGGCCAGTGAAGAGCCTGATGAGCGCTGCCGGTGCTGTGTCGAGCCCCTCAACGACATCTTCTACGTATGACACCTTTTCTTCCTTCAGGTACCCAGCCATCTCCTCCTCGAACCGGTAGTACCTGTCATAGTAGTCAAACACATGGAAGCCCTCCATGCGCAGGCGCTTGGTAACGATGTAGTACAGGTTTCGCACCCCCTCGGGCTGCTCCAGGTTGTACTGCGAGATCATCCCACATGCCACAATCCGACCACCCAGACTCATATTAGGTAGTACTGCGTCTAGCATTTTGCCGCCCACATTCTCATAGTAGATATCAATACCCTCTGGAAAATATCTGAAATCAACCAAATCAACTTGATTGAGTTATTGGGATATTTGAAACATAGGGAATTTATTCCATTATTGTGAGGAGTATGAACCTCCTTAGGGCTGCCTCAAGATCTTGTTCCTTCTTGTAGTTGAAAGCATCATCAAAGCCAAACTTACTCTTCAATAAGTTGACCTAGTGATGTGGTTTATAGATTTTCAGCGAATCTAATTGGAATTCTCAAAAGGTCATTGAGTTTGAATTCTATTAGTGTTGGGAATGCAAAGTATATGAGATTGCACAAACCTTTTCGTCATAACCAGCACTGCCGATCACGTAGCAACCTGTGATCTTAGCAAGCTGCCCAACAACCTGACCTACAGCACCAGATGCTCCTGAGATAAAGACATATTCACCTTTCTTTGGCTTGGGCACGTCAAAGAATCCAGCATAGGCGGTAAGCCCTGGCATTCCTGAATTATCAAAGATTTAACTCAATTAGAGAAGATAACAATTTGGGAGTTGTTTGAGCTGTTAAAAAATGAGAATGTCGTGAACTTCCCCTCCATTCCAAAATATAAGAATTTCTTGGTTATTTAGTAAATACTAAGGTTAAGTAAAAAAAATTCCCTTTTGGTTACTTCGATTGTCAACTTTTAAATTTTGAATTGCTTAGATTTATTTTGAAACGGAATTTGAATCCTTGTAGGAAAGCTTATATTATAGTACAAAACTGAATTCCTAGGAAGCATTATACTTTGAAACGAAATGAAGAGAATATGAGTCTATAACACTTTTTTGTATGATAAAAGGTTAAGGGGATCAATCTAACTTTGGGATCAGAAAGGAAGAACACAAGAATAGAACACCTTGTTTGATGTGAAACAAATATATTAGAGGACGATTTCCAGGCGCACGCCGCAGTTGAAAATTTTCTTGCGGTTAAACGGAGTGAAAGAAATTCACCTAGAATACCAGTGTAGTAGGATAGAGGAAGTTCAGGGTGATTGATCTTGAAAAGCGATTCTGGATTGTTGATCACGGTATATTCTTCCCATCCGGTCATCCCCCAAACAAGATCACCTGCCTTGAAATCCAGGTGCCCAGATGATATCACCTTCATCACGCCAAAATTTTCCAAAACCTGAAAGTGTTCTTATCCCAGGGGACAACAAAATTATATACTCCCTCCTTCCCTAAATATTTGACGCAGTTAATTTTTTTTAAACATGTTTGAGCGTTCGTCTTATTCAAAAACTTTTGTGAAATGTGTAAAACTATATGTATACATAAAAGTATATTTAACAATAAATAAATTATAGTAAAAGAATTAATAATTACTTAAATTTTTGAATAAGACGAACGATCAAACATTTTTAAAAAAGTCAACAGCGTCAAACATTTTGGGATGGAGGGAGTATATATTTATGGTTTTGTCAGAGTGAAAACATTGCGATGTTTTTCAGTCTTATATCTAAATAATCTCATTCATATTATCATTAAGAGTGTGTCAGTTATGTGAAAAGAAAAGGCACAGCTTGTTAGCTCCCAACGTTCAGATGGCATGGACAAATCACGCGTGGTTGAAACTTTACACATTAGGTTTATGTCACAGGAAAATAACTAAAAAAAACAAACTAGGTTTTCCTTCTATACATGACAAAATTAGGAAAGGGAACTGGACAAATTTTCAATACGCAATTTGGAAAAAAAAGACAGAGAGGAATAATTTGTGACCATCAGTAGTAATGATATGATATAACTAATAATAAATAGATAAAAGCATACAAACTTATGATGAGAAGATCATGATATTACTATTAATTAAAAAAAATGGAGCTCTGTGACATTGAAAGCTACTACCTCCCCTGGGACAAAATCCGGGATGTAGCTGGGCAACTCGTGGTGGGTCATCCGATTGCGCATGTAAGGGTCACACGAAACATACAGATTCTTCACCACCACCCCCTTCGACCCCGTTGGCACATCCAGCGGCGGCGCCTCCACCGTCACCACCTCCATATCATCCTCCGAGAGAAGCCCAGTCACGTATCGTTTTAGGATCACCCTCTTGTTGCTTACTGTGGCCGCCGCCATCGATCGCCGCCGCGCTCTCCTCCTCCTTGATCTGGATGAACCGGAAGGAGAGCCTAACTAAAGCTACCTGTGTGCCTGCCTGGTTGACGTGCAATAGTAGTACGTAGATTTGTGTATATATGCGCCGATGGGGTTTGGGCCGTGTAGCGTCCGGCAGTAATGCTGGCCTCTCATCTCATGGAGCAACGTGGTCCATGAGGATTTTCCACAGGATCTTAGCACTTGGTCAGTCGGACGTCTCAGTCCATTGGTCATCTGGTTGTACTGCTGCTAGCCCACCACCACACAGCACACATTGATGACAAATGATTATTCTGCGGTACTCGCAACCACGAGTTACGAGTTTCTGTGCCTAACTTTAATTATCCGTCTAATTTAATATTTTTTTATGATTAATATTTTTATTGTTATTAGATAATAAAATATGAATAGTACTTTATGCTTAACTTACGTTTTTAATTTTTTTTAAAAAAAATTCAAAAAATACGGACAATTAAAGTTGGGCACGAAAAATCATGGCTGCAGTTAAAATGTGACGGAGGGAGTATGATATGCTAGCCACTTAGCCATGTGGTGCCTGACTTTGGATGCCTATAAAAAATTCATGTTTATCTAGGTAATACTATAACAATAAGATTTTACTTTAATTTTTTTTTACAAAATCAAATTGTTTTATAAACAATTTGTTAGAACAACCGATCTTGATGAACTTATGTTTCAGTAAAAAAAAAGGGGGTTCAAATACTATATATGTTCTAAAGTCAAACTCTTGCTTTTGTTGTCCAAAGTTGATTTGCTCAAAAGATTAGAGACACGTCAACTAGCCGCTAGTATGTGCTCCTAAATATTCCATTGCTATTACAGCAGCAAAAGGGCATCATATTAAGAGGTAAACAGAACAGTGCATCAACTTGTTCACGACATACCGTTCCAGTCGTCAGTTTTATATTTTCTTGTAACAAAGAGTTCTTACAGATATTCTAATAACTTTGAATAGATTGATGAAACTTTCTTGGTCCATGTAAGCACAGTTGCAGGTCATAGAGAATATAAAGACTGATTGATTCACGAACTTGGTCCTGGTTACTTCTGTTAATGGGAAGGTCTGTACCTACAATAGTGAGAATTAAAATCCAAACAATGAAATCAGCCGTGACAGGGGAAAAAAATTACACCAACTATTTGAGGATTCTCTCCTTCCTTCATGACCAAGACTCCAAGAGTTCTTCATTGAACTGTTCAATGAAATCAACTTTATAAATTGGATGGAGGTGGCTGAACAGAGCTTCTTGCCATCCAGTCATCCCCCAAACAAAGATTTCCTGCCTTGAAATCCGGGTGACCGGATGACATCACCTTCATCACGCCATTATTTGTCGAAACCTGCAAGGTTTTTCACCGCAGTGGACAGCAAAACTGTAAGTTCGCAGTGAAAACGAAAACTCAGTGAATGAAACACATACAGATATTGTTCAGACTTCACATCTCCATCAAGAGTAAAAGAAAGGAAACCGATTATGACCATTAACAATAAGCGAATACTACTACATTAGTAGATGAGAAATGATTACCTCTCCCTGGACGAAGTCCGAGATGTAGCTAGTCACTTCCATCTCGTCCTCTGACGGAAACCACGTCATGTATCGCCTTAAGATCACCCTCGTGTTGCTCACCGCGGTCGTCATCGCCAATGCTAACGCCTCCTCAAGCTGGATTTATGCTTCTCAGGCCGAATCTATCATTGGGGCTAGTTGCGGCTTAAGCCCCACGTCCATTCGCCTAAATCCTCCATTTAATTATCTCTCCGTCTCCATCTTTACTTAGTTAGGCAAACATTCAAGAGTAGCGAGGAGAAGGATGACATTCTTGTCCCCAGTGGCGGACCCAGGCCTCGGGCCACCCAAGCCGTGGCCTCAGGCTTGGGAAAAGAAGCCCACTAGGTCTTACAAATTTTCACCATGTAATGGTCATCTCGGCCTAAAGATATCATAGGTTGGCCCGGGTCTCCAGTAAAACCTGGCTCCGCTCCTACTTGTCCCAATACCGTCCTGCGCCACATTAGGCTGTCATATAATCAATTAAGCTTCAATAGATTGTTAGATTATCGATATTGTGCAGTAATTTTTATTTGCGGTAAAATATTCTGTAGTAATTTTTGTTTCCTTTCTAGCCAGTTTGTTGTCTGTGACGGCAGATGGAACTTCACTATATTTCTACTATGCAGTTTGCTTCTTCTGTTTTAGGTTCAAATTTGATGTTCGATTAACAATAGACTAGCAGTTGTAGCTGTAGTATCTTACCACAAGCCCCACCTTAAATTTCATCCAGGATTTGCCTCTGATGCTTCTGGGAATGTGATAGATGAACCTAGAGATGGATACTTGTAATATAGATGAGACATACATTAGGCTGGCCCCAATACAGATAGTCGCATGGTTAGGCAGTTTTTTACTGTTCCAGCGATGCATGCAATGCATCCAGTCATGCACTCAAACAGACACAACGAATATGCAGCAAACGTGAAATCCATGCGGAGTCTGAATAGGCCATGATGCGACACAATCAGGACTTAGCAGCACGTTCCTGATCACTTGATTAGAGTCTTAACTAAAGTCCAACATAACTACCTTTATGTCATATAAGTTGGTAATAATCCAAAATCTGTATGATCATGGAGGGGCCTTGATGAGTTGTATGGTTGGATTGTTTCTGCCGATAATAATTGCCCTATCACAGTCACAGTACCACTGTTGTACATAGCAAGTCACGAACGAACGAACGAACAATGTGATTAACATGCAGCATGATCCAGAGTCTATCTGCCATCCTCCAATTGTAAGATCGAATACGAAGAACTAACCCTACCAGAGTAGGTGAATGGTAGGAAGAACGAAAACCAAAATTTTTAGTGGAGTCGAAAGTTACCCTAAAACCTGATGGTTATCGTTCCGATTGTAGATCGTGCGCCAGTCTGACCGCAACCTTGCATCTGGTCTTATTGATGTAGATTGGCTGGTCTGACCACCCTTCGAGCTGTCGCCGCGTATCATCGCTACATGTCGTTGTTGCCAGTCTAACCATTGTAGAGCCACCGGTCTTACTGCGCAGTTGCCACCAGTTTGGCCATCGGTATCCCAACAATGTGACTGCTAAACCGAGCAAACACAAACAAAAGTACTCTTGAAAGTAGTCAAACTTTATTATTTTTATTTTTGTTTACAAAGTGCACGCTCTCTCAAAACTCGACTAATCTCGAAACTCTAATTTTTGTCGCAACTCAACTCTCACAAAAATTGATACCGAGAGACCTCAACCCTTCTTCTATTTATACCCGAAGTAGACAGCCTAAAAGCCACAAATCCAACTTATACAAGTAGTCCTAATCCACTAGGAAACATTCCCATACAAGTACCTAAATTTGGACTCCTTCCAAATTCGATTCCGCTTTCCATATGCACACAATCTCACATCATATACCGTATGGAATCTTCACTAACCAGGTGCATTGTTCTTTAGCCTAAGCATCCCGCATCCTATGAAGTTGACTCCCGATCCTTTAGCGACAATGCTCTTATAGGCATCAAGACACACCTACACATAAATCAAACAAACTGTCGAAACATGATTTCGGCAATAATAAAACGGGGTAGCGCACGAGACCTAAAAGTGGATGGATGTGGAGACACAGGATTTAGACAGGTTCAGGCCCTCTCAATGAGAGGTAATACCCTACTCCTGTTTGGGGATTTGAATCCGCCGAGTGTGTATTGATCTGACGATCAGGTTGTCTCATACCCCCTAGAGGGCCTCCTGCCCACCTTATATAGGATGGGGGGCAGGATAACAAGATAGAAACCTTAACCAACACGGTATCGGTTTCCTAAATCTACTTTACAATCTTATCAAACCAGGACTTTAGGCCGTTCCATAATATACAGGGAAACGTAATACCCAAGTCATGATCTGTTACATATTCCATACATATATGTTATCCCCTATTACTAGTCGGATAACCATGCCGTGTGGATATGGGGTACCCATAATCTCCACAGTAGCCCCTGAGACCTTCACAGTCGAAAATATAATCTTCTCTCGAACTAGATTACTCCAAAGCCGAGTGCTTCAATCATCTTCGCCATGGTCTCCCGAGTACTTTTACCAAATCTGAAGACTATGGAGGGCTGAAAAATAAAGTCAGGTGCATCGAATAGATGCACCTAATAGGTGCAGCCCCCGACTATGTGGTTAATTGAACCAACCAAACATATAGTCAAGGAATAAATAATCTAACCAACCGAGTGGTTTTGATAATTGTAATCAACCAAGTGACTTGATATCAATATATAGCATATGCGGTGTGAATCCCCGAATAATATGATCCAAGTGATATACTGACTGCTTGGCAAAATATGATGCGTACAACCTAAAGTTGACAACATCTTTGAAAGTTCACATAGCAAAACAACTATAAAGAAGCTTGAATGCTGTGAATAAAGAAATTTCCAAAGTATTGGGCATACGCCATGCGTACACTGCTTTAACAGATGTGCTTAAGTCCCTAAAAGACACATGGTTTCACCACACCTGGAAATATATGGCACATGTGGTATAACATCCGAGTAAGTAAACTCATAAAGGATTTACCAACCGCCTGAAAAATGACCATAATATATAATCAGCCTAAGCCATAATATTGGTCAATAAAAATGCACACTTACGTGGCAAAAAGCAATGATATTGTATCTAATCAATTGCTTGATAAACCCAAACAGCACCTTGACTATATAAAAAAGTCAGCGGGGCAGCTATATAAAGCTTTATTGTTTGACACCTTTTAAGATGCATTGTACCAACTCCTAAAAAGTCGAGTAACTGCGGTATAAAAGGATTTTAAGGTATTGGGCACTTGATCACGCGCACTTTGGCCTAGGCGAAAAGTGTCTAAGTCCCTAAAAGAACGTGACAGGCCACACCTGAAAATATGGGCTGTAGACATATTAGGCCTAGGCCAAAAAATATGCCTTCGACACCCTTTAAAGGATGACGCATGTAACATGCTCCCGAGTAATAAATCTTCCGGGTAATATAGACCAAGTGTAGCTCA